GACAAATACCCACCACTTGCTTCGGCGTGGATGGACCTGGAGGGTATTATGCTGAGTGAAATGAGTCAATCGGAGAAGGACAAACATTATATGGTCTCATTCATTTGGGGAATATAAATAGTGAAAGGGTATAAAGGGGAAAGGAGAAGAAATGGGTAGGAAATATCAGAAAGGGAGACAGAACATGAAAGACTCTGGGAAACGAACTAGGGGTGTTGAAAGGGGAGGAGGGCAGGGGATGGGGGTGAATGGGTGACGGGCACTGAGGGGGACACTTGATGGGATGAGCACTGGGTGTTATGCTATATGTTGGCAAATTGAACTCCAATTAAAAAATATGTAAAAAAATAAATGAATACAAAAAAATTAAAAAACCACATGAAATAATGTTTCAGCAGATACCTGGAAATCCCGTGGTCCAGTCAAATGGATGCGTATGGTGAACCATCACAGAGGGGAAGGAAGGGAGACACCCAGTTCAGACCGGTTAGCCCCCAGACTTTTGGATCGCAGGCACCAGTGGCATGAAAAAAAAAACAAACCCAAACCCAAACCCAAGCACACTAGGGCTTTGTCCCCATCACCACCACCACCACCACCACCCGGGGAGCAACGTATGGTGGCCAAGGAGGGACTCTGATACATCACCCTCCAGCGTCTAGAGCAACTGTGAGGCCTTCCGTTGACCTGCTTGTTGGGCCGAGTTTGGAGGAGTCTTCATTCTGAACACTAACCCCCCTGTCCCCCGAGGCTGAACCACGCGGGAAGAAAAACATGTGATTTCTTTGCCACATCCAGTGGCCACGTGCCAACGCACTTAGGCTGCAGGCAGCCCTGCTCTCCAGGCCCATGGCCGATGGGGGTGCAGGAGGGCCGATGGCAAGGCTGGGCCACCTTCCATGGAGGGCTTTACCCATCTGTTTGTGGGTGATGGATTTTTGAACGCTAACGGTTTCCGTATTCAAATCCAAGCTAAAATATCAGATAGCATAGAGGGGTTACCCATTTCTCTTCCCAACTCTGAGGTGGCATGGCTAATGGGCTGGGTGCCACGAGGGGCTGACATTTACAGATGGTGAACACCGGGGAGTAGAGAGATGCGTTTCCTGAGAGGTGAGAAAGATATTCTACCGTGTTTTGCTTTGACAGGAGCCGGGGTCCTTTGGCTGGAGCCTAGCACCCCAGAACGCAGCCCCCGGGCCACGGTGATTTGGTTCCAAACAGGCCCCACCAGCCTGCACGGGGTGAATGTTGGACAAGCAATTTCTCTGCACCCCGTTTCCTCCTCTGCAAAATGAGAGACTACTCGGGCCACTACCCCTGGCAACGCAGCTCATCCTGGGCTTGTTGTGGCCATTCAGGGAATCTCCACACATGGAAAGCATTCAGGCCAGCGGATGGAGCGTTGTGAGCATGGCATAAGCGATTGCTATTTAATGGCAGCCAGAAAAACTGGTCTCTCAGTCGTCAGCGTTGGTGAAGTAGTTGTTTGTTTTTTTTTCTTTTTCTTTTTTTTTAAAAAAGATTTTATTTATATATTCATGAGAGAGACAGAGAGAGAAGCAGAGACACAGGCAGAGGGAGAAGCAGGCTCCCCGCAGGGAGCCCGATGTGGGACTCGATCCCAGGACCCTGGGATCATGCCCTGAGCTGAAGGCCAATGCGCAACCACTGAGCCACCCAGGTCCCCGTCTTATTTATATTTTCTAAGTTTCCTGAGACTCTCTTTTGAAATGATTGTGGGTATTGGCTACAAAACAGAAAAATATAAAGCTACGGATTCTGTGTTGTTTTCTCAGGGTGGTAACTATTTTCTGGACTGTTCGAACTCAGTCCTAGAACACAGGATGCTGGGCCATTACAAAGGCAGGCCGTATAAGCAGCATTCCACAATTCAACCTTCAGTTACTCCTGCGCGGCAGAGATACAAATCATCCTCATAATGATGATGTGCAACGAGTCCCGGCCTGTTTCTAATTCAGGAGATGGGCGCCCACGAAATTCTGCCCTTTTGTTCGGCCCCCTTTCCCTTTGTATGACCTTCTGGAAACAGATGCTCGGTCTCTATTGCAAAGCACCAACAGAAACCACAAGTTGTCCTGTCATGCATTCCCTGAAGAAAACACGATGACAAATGATTATGGGACCTCGTAGGCTGTACCCACCAGGGACTGATCAGGAAATTGAAACCATAGGGTCACTTGCACACAGGGAAAGTTCAGCAGGGAAAACTGCTAATGGCATTGGAGTCACAGAAGTTTGACTAATAAGTAAAGAGATGATGGCTACTGAAAACACTGTCACAGTCACTGATCCTCCCCAGAGGAGGGGACATGCCCCCCCCCACTGGAGGCCACTCCGAAAAGCACCAGCATCCATCACAAGGTGGGGGCCAGAGGGGGCCGGGGGCAAGAGCCTTTATTGAGGTTTCTAAGGGAAGGGATGGGTGAGGCAAGGCAAACAGGTTTAGGATTGGCCAGTTTGAGGAATGTCTGCCACTTCTGGGGCATCCGGGCCGTCCCCGACTGCCTGGCACCTGGCTGTGCAGTGGTTGCAGCAGGACAGGGGCCTGGAGCGTGAAAGCATTTAGCCAAAGGAGGTGGTTGGAAATAAGGGCTCTGGACTGGTTGGGTCACATTTGTAAAGCGTGCTTGCAGGACAGTTATTTAGCATCTCTGGGAGCTGACTGACCCTGGGGGTCGGCGACGCAGCATATACTGAAGCATCAGAGCACAGAAAATGAAGGGCATGCTTAGGACACGCAGGAGCCAGCACGGAGGTTGCTGCGTGCTCGGGAGCCGGGCCCTGGAGGAAGCTGGGCTTTGCAGGAGGCTAGCCAGCGAGGCTCACCGGGAAGGAGGCCCACGAGGCAGGGGAGAGGGCCACCCCTTTATTCTCCCGGTATCTCTCCAGCACCCTCTACTGACAAGGATCAACACCGTAGCAGTTGGTAAAGGAGAACTAGTTACAGAGCCCACCTCCATGATCACAGAGCAGCTAAACAGGGGTGGATTTGGAGCCGAGACAAGTCGGGTGCAAGCAGGTGCCGAGGCTCACGGACGTGGCGGGCTAGAAGACGTAGCACTGAGTACTCGGGTGTCCTCCTCTTTCCCATGCACACCCCACTTGGCTGCCTCCCGCCTACCAGAGCCTGGACCCCGCACAGCTCCTGCAGGTGCACAGGCGGGTGCTTTAAGCATCTTGTCGTCCAGACTCCCAGTCCACGGCGTTGCACAGGAAGCCGCCTCCGTCATCTGCGATGCGTTATTCCGGGGGCTTCTGTTGAAGGATGGTGGTTTTTTTTTTAATAAATTAATTTTTATTGGTGTTCCATTTACCAACATACAGAATAACACCCAGTGCTCATCCCGTCAAGTGTCCCCCTCAGTGCCCGTCACCCATTCACCCCCACCCCCCGCCCTCCTCCCCTTCCACCACCCCTAGTTCGTTTCCCAGAGTTAGGAGTCTTTATATTCTGTCTCCCTTTCTGAGATTTCCCACACATTTCTTCTCCCTTCCCTTCTATTCCCTTTCACTATTATTCATATTCCCCAAATGAATGAGAACATATAATGTTTGTCCTTCTCCGATTGACTTCCTTCACTCAGCATAATACCCTCCAGTTCCATCCACGTTGAAGCAAATGGTGGGTATTTGTCGTTTCTAATGGCTGAGGAATATTCCATTGTATACATAAACCACAAAGGACGGTGGTTTGACCAAAATGTGGGTATTGCCTGGAATGAGAGTCGCTGAACACTTTTTATAATTTAATTTTTAAAAAGATTTTATTTATTTGTGAAAGAGAGAGAGAGGCAGAGACACAGGCAGAGGGAGAAACAGGCTCCCTGCGGGGAGCCCGATGCGGGCCTTGATCCCAGGACCCCGGGATCACACCCGGAGCCGAAGGCAGATGCTCAACCGCTGAGCCACCCAGGCGCCCCATCTGAACATTTTTTGGTGAACTAGCCGCACAAAATTACTTGGATGCCTTAAAAAAAATCAACAGACTTTCTTTCTTTTTCTTTTTTTTTCTTTTGAGCAGTTTCGGGGGTAAAGGAACATCAAGTGGAGGGAGAGAGGAACAAACAGGTGGAGCAGAGGATTTTTAGGGCAGTGATGGGCACATGTGTTCATACAGTAGTCAAAACCCACAGGCTGGGGATCCCTGGGTGGCGCAGCGGTTTGGCACTTGCCTTTGGCCCAGGGCGCGATCCTGGAGACCCGGGATCGAATCCCACGTCGGGCTCCCGGTGCATGGAGCCTGCTTCTCCCTCTGCCTGTGTCTCTGCCTCTCTCTCTCTCACTGTGTGCCTATCATAAATAAATTAAAAAAATTAAAAAAAAATTAAAAAAAAAAAACCCACAGGCTGTCCGACATGGAGGATACGCCCTAGGATAAACGATAGAATTTATTGTTTGTGGTGACATGTCAGTGGTGGCTCATCAGTGGGTGGGCAGTGACAGGTACCCAGGAACCCACTGTACTTCCCACCCGGTTTGCCTATCAGCCTGATGAGATCACATATCATCAGATACGTGTTTTGCAAATATTTTCTCCCACTCTGTGCCTTGTCTTCTCATTCTCTTAACAGTGTGTTTCACAGAGCAGATGTTTTGAATCAGAACGTGGTCCATCATGTCAATTTTTCCTCTTTCATGGGTTGTGCTTTTGGTGTTTGTATCTAAGCACTGATGATTGCTAAACTCAAAGTCGCTTTGATCTTATTTCTTTAAAGATAATACACATAGTAGTCTTGTAACCTGCATCCAGTGGTGTGCTGGTAAAGTTGTCATTATCAGCTCTCTGAAATTAAAAAACAAAAACAAAAATGGGTGCTGGGGTGGCTCAGGGCGTGATCCTGGGGTCCTGGGATCAAGTTCCGTATTGGGCTCCCTGCAGGGAGCCTGCTTCTCCCTCTGCCTGTGTCTCTACCTCTCTCTCTGTGTCTCTCATGAGTAAATAAATAACATCTTTAAAAAAAATAAAAATAATATAATTTTTTTTTGGTTGTCAAATGATCCTTTATTGAAATATTTTCCTTTGTAGTTAACTCGCTGGGCACTCCACTGCACCACTATTGATGTCATCTATGATGTCATGAGGGTGACGGCCATCAACATTGTAGCCCACAGACTGGGCAGTCCCCAGGATCTCTTTAATGGTTCCAGAAAGTTCTCCGGCTAAAGATCGATGTCGCATCTGTCGGGCAATATTGACAATCTCATCAAAAGTGATATTTCCACTGTGCTTAATGTTTTTCTGCTTCTTTCTGTCTCTTGGTGGTTCCTTGAGGGCTTTGATAATCAGGGCAGAGGCAGAAGGTACCACTTCAATCTGGATGTCATCACCAACCTTTTTTGGAGACAGACCCAGCGGGCCGATCTTCGGGGCCAGGGCAGACGTGGCACCGACCTCGCCACCGGTGCACCTCAGGTACACGACTTTGATCTCGTTGGGGTCGAACTTAGGCAGCATGGTGGAGGCAGCTGGTGTCGGATGAACCCGGATTCGGGACGACCGAAGACAGTTGCACCTTTGCCTCCTCCGAGCCTAAAGCCAAAAGCAATATAAAAAATTTTAAAACCACCCTGATTTGTAGCATCTGCTGACTTCTGTGGTCTAAATCCTTCTACCCTGGCCAGCTGCAGACCATCCTGTTGACATTCCTGAATACTGAGTAGCTCATGAGCCCGTACAAGTCCTCTCCTGGTCTGTCCTTTCTGTTGGTTTCCCCTGAGGGTATCTTTGCTTTTTTTTTTTTTTTTTAAACTGTGAAGGGTTCATTTTCTTCGGAAAATCCTCTGAGAATTCCCAGAGGCCAAGGAGGAAGAGGGCCTCTTCTGGAGAGTATTGCATTTGCTGCTGTCAAGCACGTGGGGGCGCCACCAGACTGGTGCCTGGGATTTGTCACCGCTCAGTGGTGAAGTCAATTAGGACTACGTAGTCCAGAGCCCGCTTCTCAGGCGCGTTTTCATCTTCCTCCTCCTCTGCTCTGGGCCATTTTGAATTTGCTTACAGCCCTCTGATATTACAGACGTTGCTGAAGGAAACGGAATTAAGCAGGCATGATCCGCCCCGCCCCCCCCTTGGGGGGCTCTATCCTTGTATTCCTTTCCTACCGGTGCTAGAACACATTGTTAACAAATTGATCGACCTTAACGATGTACGTACATCTATTCCCATGAAGTTCTGTAGGTGAGAAGCCTGACACGGGTCTCACTGGACAAAATCGACCTGTCAGTGTGGTTGTGTCCCTTCCGCAGGCTCTGGGGGACACTCCATGTCCTCACCTTTTCCAGCCTCCAGAGGCCACCACATTCCTTGGCTCCCGGCCCCTTCCTCCACCTCTAAAGCCAGTGATGGCGAGAAGGGCCCTCTTCCAATTTTAAGGATGCCTGTGATCACATTGGACACCCATCCCCCACCCCCGGTATTCCAGCGTGATCTACCCGTCCCAAGGCCAGCTCGTTAGCCCCCTTCGTTCTAGCTGCAACCTGAGCTTCCCTTCTCTAGGGCACCTCACGTAGTATCTGTTTCTGGAGATTAGGACGTGGACATCTTTGGGGAGCCACAATCCTGTTCCCACATCCCTCCAAAAACATTGTCTTATCTGTACCCACAGTATTCCCCTGCTGCTGAGAAACAGAAGTCCCTTCTGTTGTTCCAGGCAGACCCCTCTCTGCCTGTATCCTGGGGCTCATGCCCGCTCTGGGGCCTTGTTCTTTCATGAATCTCTAGCTCTGCACCAACTCCATCCTCCCCATGGGTGATACACTGGTCTCTTCCTTCAAAAAGCACATTCTTGGGGCACTTGGGGGGCTCAGTGGGTTGAGTACCTGCCTTGAGCTCAGGTCATGATCCTGGGGTCCTGGGATCGAGTCCCGTATCAGGCTCCCTGCTCGGCAGGGAGTCTGCTTCTCCCTCTCCCTCTGCCTGCCACTCCCCCTGCTTGTGCGCTCTCTCGCTCTCTCTCAAATAAATTAAATCCTTAAAAAAAGAAAAGCATATTCTCCTGGTCCAGTCTCCCAATAGCTATGATCCAATCTCTTTTCTTTCTTTAGAGTCAACTCTCCAGAAAGAACAGCATGGCCTTGTCCATCCTTCCTTCTCTGATTCATGCATTCAGATTAATATTTATTGTGTGCCTACTACGTGCCAGGGGCCCTGTTGAGTGATTCTATCCCCATATCTGTGTTTCTGTCCGACGTCTTTTGTGACCTTCAGGCCTTTATCCCCATCCGTGTCCGTGTGCTGAGTGCCTCAGCACTGCCCCGATGTGCTCCTCTACTTATCTGGATTCCCGGCCCACTCTCCATGTCTGGTCAACTACCAGGTCCTCAAACCAGCCTGTCCCCAGTCTTGCCACCCTGCCACCCACCACTGGCTGCCACAGTGGTTCATGTTTTATCATGTCCCTTCCCTGCCCCAGGGGACTCCCTCAGTGGCTCCTATGGCATAGAGAAGGAAGTACCAGTTCTTTTTTGAAAGACTTTATTTGAGAGAGAGAGAGAGAGCGCGCACAACGGGAGGGGCAGAGGGAGAGGGGGGAAGCAGACTCCCCATTGAGCAGGGAGCCCGACCTGGGACTTAATCCCAGGAACTCAGGATCATGACCTGAGCCGAAGGCAGACGCTTTACCGACTGAGCCACCCAGGCACCCCAGAAAATACCAGTCCATTAACCAGCCCCCATGGACACATCAGTCATCTTCTCCCAGCCCCATGCCCTTCATGATCTAGGAACACCAGCTTTCTCTGGGTCCTGTACACACTGCATCACGTTTAAAGTGCCGGATGCTTCTGTTGGCACCATTCCCTTCCATGGTGACGATTTCTTGGCTTCTCTTTGTTGTTTTACCATGTATCCACGCCCGAACAAGGGTTTTCTTTGGTCTCGAACTTATGTGAATGGAACAATATCATGTATGTTCTTTGGAATTTGGCTTCTTTCGATCAACACGCTTAGGAGTCATCGTTGTGTGTAGCTGTAGTCCGATCACCCACCCTGGGTGTGTAGAATTCCATTGTGCAAATGTGCCGCAATTCATCCGTTCTGCTGTACGTGGCTATTTGAAGTGTTTCTAGTTTTTTTTTTTTGGTGGGGGGGGTGCATTAGAGACAATGCTGTTATGAATATTCTTGTACGTGTCTTTTGGCGCATAGAGGTTCTCATTTATCTTTTTTTTAATAAATTAATTTTTATTGGTGTTCAATTTACCAACATACAAAATAACACCCAGTGCTCATCCCGTCAAGTGCCCCCCTCAGTGCCCGTCACCCATTCACCCCCACCCCCCACCATCCTCCCCTTCCACCAACCCTAGTTCATTTCCCAGAGTCAGAAGTCTTTATGTTCTGTCTCCCTTTCTGATATTTCCCACACATTTCTTCTCCCTTCCCTTATATTCCCCTTCACTATTTTTTATATTCCCCAAATGAATGAGAACATACACTGTTTGTCCTTCTCCGATTGACTCATTTCACTCAGCATAATACCCTCCAGTTCCATCCACGTCGCAGCAAATGGTGGGTATTTGTCGTTTCTAATGGCTGAGGAATATTCCATTGTATACATAGACCACAGCTTCCTTATCCATTCATCTTTCGATGGGCACCGAGGCTCCTTCCACAGTTTGGCTATTGTGGACATTGCTGCTAGAAACATCGGGGTGCAGGTGTCCCGGCGTTTCACTGCATCTGTATCTTTGGGGTAAATCCCCAACAGTTCAATTGCTGGGTCGTAGGGCAGGTCTATTTTTAACTCTTTGAGGAACCTCCACACAGTTTTCCAGAGTGGCTGCACCAGTTCACATTCCCACCAACAGTGTAAGAGGGTTCCCTTTTCTCCACATCCTCTCCAACATTTGTGGTTTCCTGCCTTGTTAATTTTCCCCATTCTCACTGGTGTGAGGTGGGATCTCACTGTGGTTTTGATTTGTATTTCCCTGATGGCAAGTGATGCGGAGCATTTTCTCATGTGCCTGTTGGCCATGTCTATGTCTTCCTCTGTGAGATTTCTGTTCCATGTCTTTTGCCCATTTCAGGATTGGATTGTTTGTTTCTTTGGTGTTGAGTTTAATAAGTTCTTTATAGATTTTGGAAACTAGCCCTTTATCTGAGGTTCTCATTTCTCAAGAGCATCTACCTACCCAAGAGGGGAAATGCAATGTCACAGGGTAGGCACCAACCTTCCCGGGCGAGGCCAACAGGTCCTTAAGGCGGTGGTGGAGAACTCCTGTCGGCTCACAACCTTTTCGATGCTTGCGATTGCCAGACTTTTCAACAGTTTTGCCAATCTGTGGGTGCAGGAAAGTGTGGCGCTGTGGTTTGAGTGCTCATTTCCCTGGAGACATGTGACGGAGCCCTGACAGCATTCCCGAGAAGCTCCTCCATGGCCTCCCATCCTGGCCCCAAAGCCCTCCATCTGCCTTTGCCAGAGCAAGCGGCACGGTGCGTGGGATTTGGCAGTTAAGTGAGCTGTCTTCCCTCTAGGCCACTTGAAGGAGGCCATCGTTTTACTCATTTCTGTTTCCGAATAAAACCCAGATGGCCCAGGTCTGGGTCATAGTAGACAGGCTTTGTTCAAGTGACCTGACTTTAGAAAAGCTACTTCTGGCTCTCAGCCTTCATCTCATCTATAAAATGACAAAAAAAAAAATAAATAAATAATAAATAAATAAATAAAAATAAAAAATAAAAAAATAAAACAAAACCCAAACAAACAAAAATATCAATTTTAAAAGGTTGTGGGGATGCTGGATAGTATAGTGTTTGGTACATACACCCTAGTAAATGGCTCCCTTGCCTCCATGTAGGGACCAAGGGAATTGAAAGCACACGGTCTGGCTCTGGGTAGATGCAAGGATAGAAAGGAAGGGGCGGGGGGTGGGGAGGGGACCCAGAGGCAACTGTAAGTCTAGATTTTGTCTGAGAGGTCACAAAACAGGACTGAGCTGGCCTTTACCTAACGTAAAGCTGGTAATGGGAGAGCCCAGCGGTGTCCTGGCCTCCACCATCTGAAGTTTAAAGGGGCTGGGCTGCAGTAGGTGTTATAATGCCCGTCCCCCAAGATGTCCACATCCTAATCTCTGGAACCTGGGAATCCAGTACCTTCCACAGCAACGGGGCACTAAGGTCCCGGAGGGACGAAGGTGGTCAGCTGGCCCTGAGATGGGGGTGGGCCTAGGCTGTCCAGGTGGGCTCCGCATAACTGCCAGGGGCCTTTCAGTGTCACTGAGGGAGGCAAAAAGTCAGAGCCCAGACATTTGAAGAGGCTCTGCTGCTGGCTTTGGAGACAGGGGAAGGGGTCACGGTCAGGGGAGGCAGGCAGCCTCTAGGAGCTGGAAAAGGAAAAGGACTCTCCCCTGGGGCTTCCAGAAGGAACACAGCCCTGCCGATACCTTGACTGCAGGCCAGCGAGACCCATTTCAGACTTCTGACCTCTAGAACTGTAAGAACACAAATGCCTTGTGGGAGAACCAATCACCACTGAGTTTGTGGTGATTTCGTGCAGCAGAAACAGGAAACTAGTGGGTGAGGCGAGTGTTGTGTTGTGCCATAGATCTTGTACCTGCACGAGTAATTAAAGTGCATTTTCTGGGAAGGGTCGTGTGAGTAGTCAGGGACCTTCCCTTCGAGAAGGTGAGGCCCATACCCTAGCTGAACAGATGGCACACTGAGGCCTCCAGATCCATCACGCCTGGGAGCTGGGAGGGTCTCACACCTTCCAGCCAAGAAGCAGTCCGGGAGCTGAGACTGGAGCCCAGGTCTCCATGCATCCCCACTAACACAAATTTGTGTGATCAAGCCCCTGAAACGAGGTGAACAACTTTTTTCTTTTTTCTTTTCTTTTTTTTTTTTTTTGGTAATTTATGAGGAAGGCACTGGGAAACGCGATCAATCTCCGGAGCACAGGAGTCTTACCAGCTGGAAATGAATAAGTCATGTTGTCCAAAGCCACTGGAAAACGAACTGTGAGGACCTGTCATGTGTAGCTCCCTGACGTGGTTAAGTACGTTACCACCTTCTCGAAGGACTAATCCATATCTGAATCCAAGCCTCATAAGGAAACGAGGATGCTTCTTTGCTTTGCCGATCTTTCATCATCCAAATACATTCAATACAGACGACTTTGCTAATAATTCCTTAATTAAGTGATACAGCCGCCAAGAGATGTGGGAGGATTAGAATCAAGTATTGGTATTCCAGCATCGTGCTGTTAAAAAAAAAAGTGATTCTGTGAACCTCAAATGACTCGATTGCAAGCTATTTCAACCATGACATTTTTCTGCGAACGTGCTAATCCTCCTTGTCTGTGGGATGCACATGGCATACATTTCTTATTTGCTTTGGGGGTCCCCTGTGCTTCTGCTGTGATGGCCACGTCCTCCAGACAGATGTAGATACTGTGTGAAAAATTCTTGTATTTAAGACCGTTCCCTATAGTCTTCCTTTTGCCCTAATGCCCCAAATGCCACAAGAGCTGCCCGAAGCACTGACACTACCAATCTGCGTTCTGTAGAGGGGGCTGCAGGTGATGAGCTACTCAGCTTATTTTCAGAGTTTTGAGGTATTATTCCTGCCCCCAAAGCAGAAGGATAAGCTTCGGTGCATTATCAAAAGTAGATCAGAAAATGCTAGGACCATATTTTGGAAAAAGTACTGTATCATCAAATATATCTGTGATTCCAAATTATTTGAAGGGCTGTCCCAGGAAGAGAGATTGTTGTAGGTCATCCCTGAAGGCAGAGCTAAGGCTAGTCACTGGGAACTCGAGCGAGGTAGAGTTCAGCATAACACCTGTGCGCATCTGTTTGGATGCCGTGGGACTTCAGGCATGGCAGTGTCGCCCTGGAGTCCCGATGCTCTCCTGCGTTGGAAAACAGGGATAACAGAATGCCACGTAGCCCATGAGGCTGTAGTGAGCACTCAACGTGGTGACGTCTGGGGGAGAACCTTTGCAGAGTAAGTCAAATACTCAGAGTTCTAAAAAAAAAAAAAAAAAAAAAAAAAAAAAAAAAAAAAACCACTTAATTTTTTAAGAGTCCTCTTCAGACTTTTAAAAAATGATTAATTTCAGTTTGCTGCTACAACTATTTAGCATTCTTTTTTAGATTTTATTTATTTATTCATGAGACACACAGAGAGAGGCCAGAAACACAGGCAGAGGGAGAAGCAGGCTCCTCGCTGGGAGCCCGATGTGGGACTCGATCCTGGGTCCCAGGGATCAAGACCTGAGCCGAAGGCATATGCTCAACCACTGAGCCACCCGGGGGTCCCCTATTTAGCATTCTTAGAATGCACATCATTTCTAATTGGCTGGAGGATCTGAAGACAATTTTTAATTCTTACCGTAAGAGACACCGAGGATGACTTCCTTCCGCCAACGTCTTACCCTCCCTTAACATCAGTCACTGTGTTCCACATCCGGAGTCTGAAGTCTTGTGTCTATGCACACCTGGCTCTTTTGTGGAAGCTCTCTGGACTTTAATAAAGACAGCTGAATGAGGGTGGGGGGCTGGGGGGGCTGGGTGACGGGCACTGAGGAGGGCACTTGATGGGATGAGCACTGGGTGTCATACTATATGTTGGCAAATGGAATTTAAATAAAACATTAAAAAAATTAAGACAGTTGAGGCCCCTAAAAAAAACCACCGCTAATACACTGAAAAGCACCAAATCGTTGCAATTTTGGGAGAGTCCTGCAAGGCCACTAGTAAGACCAAGAACATGTGAAGAGGAGCCAGGAAAAGACACACAGACACACGCAGCTACAGGCCTGAAAACAGAGTGCTATTTTAGTTAATACATTTATTACAGCAGGTCTTTAGTCATTATTGTCATGAAAACCTTTTCATGATATTTCACAAAATCCCTTAAGCTATTAGTATTAGCTTTTTTCTTTTTTATGGAGTGACACTTTGTTAATTTATGAAATATTTACAGCGTTTACAAAAAGCAAGAGAATGTCTAATAAAATTTCTTATACATACAAAATTTATACATGATACTACTGTATTTGAGATGTCTTATTTGGTAGACCAATCAAGCTATGACAGAAAATAATTTACAAAGATATATTTAATCTCTCTTAATTCATTGAAAACAAAACCATATTAGCTATAAATAGTCCTTTACAATTCACTGTAAAACATTAATTGTTTTAACTGTAGCCTTAACTTTTACAAATATACTTAATTAGTTCAGATATCAAATAGAACTGCATTTGAAATTTCATTCATTATTATTACTACTATAGTCTACAACAACAAAAAACCCCAAAAAACCTGAAAAAGCAAACTGCCGGGTACACTTCAAGTAAAAATTTGTAGAACCAGTTTAATGCACGCTTGGGGGGAGGGGCATCCAACACCGTGTCAACTGAGATACAATACTTTCAAGAATATCCTCAACAAATGTACATCTGTGGCTTTTGTTTCAAAGAATGATGCTCTAGCAACAGCCCATGCGTCCAAGATGGTCAACCCTACACTTTGGCAGATAAGCTGGTCAGACTAGAGAGACGTTTGCGAAAACATTCACTTTAAGCAGCATAATGCCCCCGACATCCTCAAACAGTGCTAGAAGGGGTTTCCCACAACCTGGAAATGGGTCAGAATTTGAGGCAAGCTCGTGGGACAACTCAGAAAAAACAGAACTGGCAAAAAGTTAAATAAAAAAAAAAAATCAAATCGTATCTGACTGGGCCACATCGGTGTAATATAAAAATATGCTCCTCTTGAAAATTAGGGGGAAACACGTCGTCTTCCAAAATTTCAAAATAATGAAAACCTCATCTACACGGCCATTTCTCTTGAAGTCACCACTTAACGATGGTATGTATAGTTTGGCAATTATTTAAACACCTTGCTTTTGGATGATGCCTCAGAAGACGAGCCCGATTTGGTTTTGGCAATCACATCTTTCACATTTGGGTTCGTTTCCGATAATCCAAAGCAACGACTATAAGCAGCCTAAAGAAGATCCAGTTCACAAACATATTTTTCCCCCTTGAGTTACCAACGGTGTCGTTCCGATGAAGCCCACAAAATACATATTGTACACACAGCTATTTCGAAAGAGCTCAATTAAATTTCAATTGTATCTTTCAGAACCGGTTCTGGAAAGCTGTCAGGATTTTCCAAAACCCCACCTTGGCTCCTTTCTTCCGATTGCCCTGTAGACACTAGTTTTCTTGTAATATGTTTTCTAGAAGGCACATATTCAAGAGTTTAAGATTACGTTAGTTCAAGTTCTACACGGAGGCAAAGGTTTTAATCTACTCTGTACAGAGGCCCCAAGTGAGGGTGGGCTCTCTCCTTTCTTCGGGGTCCTCGCTGGCCCCGGGGACCCCGGCTCAGAAGTGTGTGCGCACGTGCGGCATCATCTGCGAGGGCCCGGCCGGCGAGGTCGAGGGGTCGGGCAGCTTGGCCGAGCTGGCGAGCTGCAGCTCCTCGAGCCGCTGTATGTATTCGTCACGCAAGGCCAACAGCTCCACGTACCGCTGCTCCACTGGGTTGGGCTGCTGGAAAGAAGCGCACATGGGCATTAGGGCTTGTCCCCACGGCCACCGGCCCACCAAACCCTGCTGCTGACCCTGACCACACACATGTCCAAGATGTACTAAGGCCCCTGGGGGTGAAACCACGCCTGGCGCTTCGCCACCAAGAAATACGCCCTTGTACACACTGCCTGGCACAGGCCTCACCATCATTTATTTTTTAGACATTTTATGTATTTACTCATGAGAGACGCAGAGAGAGAGGCAGACACACAGGCAGAGCGAGAAGCAGGCTCCCCCCGAGGAGCCTGATGTGGGACTCGATCCTGGATCCTGGGATCACACCCTGAGCCGAAGGCAGGTGCTCAACTGCTGAGCCACCCAGATGTCCCCTCTCACCATCATTTTTTTTAAGGCTTGCCAACCCAGACACACCTCCGGTCTCCTGCATCCCTATATCCCTCACCCTCATCCCCAGGCCCCCTGCCCTCTTGGGTGCCCAGGGGCAACCACTCTTCTCAAGGTTGCGTGTGGCCCTCTTTCCCGGGCACACTTCTGCTCCTTTTCCTGTCCGTGGGTATCTAGACATGAGATGCGCTCTGAGTTTCGTTCTTGCGCAAGTTGGCGTCATTGGCGCTCCTCTGCATCTATCAACTAGCTTTCTGGCCCGTGCTTCCGAGTGCGAGCCCCGTGGAGTGCCACTGAACGAGTACGGCACAGGTGAGGTCCCCACACCCGCGGTGACAGGTGAGCAGTGATGCCCGCTGTTCCCCGCGCCACGTTGCCCGGTCCTTGGACACAGGTCCTCCTCGCGCACATCTGTGAATGTTCCTGGACAGCACTTTCCAGGGGCTGGGGGGTGGGGGTGGGGGTGGGTCTCTTCGGCTTTATCACATGCTGCCCAACTGTCCTCTGAGGCGGCGGGTACGACCTCATACTCCCACTAGTGACACCTGTGCCTCTGCATCCTCAGCAGCGCTTGGGAGCGCAAGGGCAATTTTTTTCCTTTTTCTGCCCAATCCAGTGGGTCTCTGGTGCGTCTCGGGGGTCTCGGTTGGCCCCATCCTGCTCCAGCACCCGTGCACATGCGATTGCCCACAGGAGCTCGGAGCTGAGAGCGCAGCTCCAGAGCCCGTCAGCCTCGCTGTGAATCGCGGGCCTGCCTCTCACCTGCCCTATGATGTAAGTCGGGTGCCTCGGTTTCCCTACCAGTCCAATGGGGAGAAAATGGCCCAGACCTCCTGGGGTTGCTGTGAGAGTGAGGTTGGCCAATACTGCCCACGTCCTTCGTGGATGACTAGGGGTCTTGGGGCCGTACAGAGCTTAGATGTCACGCTGCAGAGCAATTCTCTGCAGCAGGTGAACTTTTTATTTTTTATTTTTTTTTTAAAGATTTTATTTATTCGAGGGGGGGGGGGCAGAGACACAGGCAGAGGGAGAAGCAGGCCCCATGCAGGGAGCCTGACATGGGACTCGATCCTGGGTCTCCAGGATCAGGCCCTGGGCTCAAGGCAGCGCTAAACCGCTGAGCCACCCGGGCTGCCCAGGTGAACTTTTAAAATCTTTGCACTGATGTATAAGTTACAGGCTGGCATGTGTACAAATATGAAGATGTGGGACGCCTGGGGTGGCTCAGTGGTTGAGCGTCTGCCTTTGGCTCAGGGCGTGACCCCGGGGTCCTGGGATCGAGTCCCACACAGGGCTCCCTGCATGGAGCCTGCTTCTCCCTCTCCCTGTGTCTCTGCCTCTCTCTGTGTCTCTCATGAATAAACAAACAAAATCTGAAAATGTTCGGCTCCGTGAGCCTTTACACAGATGTGCACAACTGTGATCACACGCCTCAGGCCAAGATACACGATAGGACGGCCTCCGGAAGACTCCGTCACCGGTGTGTTTTGAGGTGAGCAAAGGCAAGCTCCTAGAAAGCTGGAGCAGTATATGAGGACATGAAGAAAAAGGTCAAGAGCCTAGAGAAGTGCACTCCATCAGCGCTAGTGGCTTCTGGAACCAGCCCGACTTCCACTGCGTTAGGCTGAAGCACCAACAACGGACGCTGTGACAACAGTGCGGTGACAAGCAGGCTGCACCCCGGCCCTGGTCTGTGACGTGGAGCAGAGGCGGCCACAGGAGCCCCGGGTTCCAGACTGCAGATGAGCTGCCCCGACAAGTGAACACAAGGTGGCCACAGAAATGTACTTTCTCACAGCTCCTGGGGCTGGAGCCTGCAATCGGGCTCCCTCTGGAAGCCCCAGGGGCGGCTCCTTCCTTGCCTCTTCCAGCTTTGGGTGGCTCCAGGTTCCCTGGCTCGGGGCTGCGTCCCTCCCACCTGTGCTTCCACACGGCCGTCACCCCGTGCCTGTGGTTCAAATCTCCGTTTCTTCTTAGAAGGACACCTGTCACGCAATGTAGGGCCCGCACCAAACCCAGGAGGATGGCATCCTCAGGTCTTTAACTTAGTAACACCTCTAAAGACCCTTTTCCCAAGTAAGGTCATGTTCCCAGGTTCGGAGTAGACACAGTGTTCGGGGGAGACCATTCTACCTGGCACGGGCTGCCAACGAGTGGTGGACAGAGGCCAGGTAAAATGCCACAGACATGTGACTGTGCCCGTGCTTCTAGTGGCGCTGGTGTTTCCTTTTCTTTTTCAGGTTTTATTTTGAAGTCATCTCTACGTCCAACATAGGGCTTGGACTCACAACCCTGAGGCCAAGAGTTGCACACTCTACTGTCTGAGCCCGCCAGGTGCGCACACTGGTGTTTCCATTAGGGCTCTGGTTACACAGGTCCACAGGGTGGGAGAGGTCTCCTCCTTCCTCCTAACCCCGTTCTTCCAGTAAAGCCCTGTTTCTTTACTGTCACTGCAGAATGAGAGGTTTCTCAGAAAGGCACAGGTGGCATTAGAACAGGAACGTCACAGCCAGAAGGTGCTGTGCGCCACCTGCTAATGTCTTTTGTCCATTTTTCTCTGTGTATTCAGCCGAGGACAGACACTGTTCTGGGCGCCTGGGATCCCTCAGTGAACGATGGAGGCCCAAGTCCCCATTCTTATGGCCTTTTTTCCTTCCAGCAGAGGGAGACACACAAATGAAGGCTACCACAAGTCTGAGTCACAGCGGGTGTTCAAGGGCGAGGAACACTACGGAAAAGCGGAGCGAGGTAAGAGGGGCAGGACTGGCGGGACGCTACGCCAGGCCTCGGAAGCCACTGCATGGACTTCGGCTTTGGTGCTGGGCGAGGTGAGCAGCTCCCAGGATGGTTCTGAGTGGAGGGGCGGCGGGATCTGGCACGTGCTTTACAAGGACTGCTCCGGCTACCATTTGACATGGACCAGACGGAAACAAAGGTGGAACCGGGGAGTCCAGCTAGAAGTCTAGGCAGCACCACACAGCCTGCATCGGGCCAGCAGCTGGGGAGCAAGGGGGTTCCTGGTATGAGGGGTCTGGAGTCATACGGGTTTTGAAGGCCGAGTCCAGCAGGCTCTGCCGACTGGAGAAGGGGTGCAAGAAAGAAGGGAGTGGAGGCGGGCAGGCTCCCTGGTTTCTGGCCGCAGTGACTAGGGTGGAGTTGCCAAGAACCGAAATGGGGAGGACGGCAGCAGGAACGGGTTCTGGGGGACCAGGAGCTCCATTTTCGACATGTCCACTTCGATCTGCTGTGCTGGGACCGTTCATGATCGCCGGTCGGTCCTCTCCCCTGTGCCTCACCTGCCAGGGCTCCCCACCTGCTTCTGGGCTCGACCCTCCCAAGGAGCAGGGCAAGTTCTTCCTCGACGTTCGCCTTCCTCGACAATTGCCGTGGCTATTTTTAATACTTCCCTTTCTGCAGACGCCTATTAGAATCAGTCTGTTACCGTGCCAGCAAGTACGTTTAGACAAGAAAAAGGAACCAGAGGTACAAAAACCATCTTTTGCAGGTGACAAGGCTGTATAATTAGAAGAGTCATGAGTGTAGACGAAAGAGGACTTGAAATAAAGAGAATTCAGTCTAGTGATGGGCACAAACTATCCAGAAGGCAAGAGCCTACAGACAAACACAGACCTTTCAGGGGAGACCAGGAAAGCGTCCCAGAGACAAAAAATCTCGGGAAATGAAGTTTAAAGTCAAGTGGCTGTAAGCACTTCAGCCCGGCCGCTCGCTCGGGACTGACGTGACGTGGAGCTCAGCACGGCATACCCGACAGGCCACGAGCTGGCTGTGGAACTATCTCGGCCCTCACATGGGTTTTAGAGTCTCACTCCTTTTGGAGTTCCCATCAGAGATGACCCGAGCGCCACCGGGTCAGCCTGTTCGCAGCTGACTGTCCCTGTTCTCATCCTCTGGCGATCGCTGCGCGAAGATGTGAGCTTGCCAGCGCAGGCCTGGTTAACGGCGACGGGGGTGCGCTCCCCAAGGCCCCACTGGGGCTCTTAACAGGCCTCACTGGCCACTCCTGCTTCCGGTGTGAGCCATCCCCGCGTGTTCATGCCCGTACCAAGTTGGCTGACTGATAGCTCTTCAAATGCAAGCATTGCTCTTTCCGTCAACTCCGCTGAGTTTCTGTGCTGGGGCAACGGTTGGTGGTTCTCGCTTTGAAAAAGCACGGTAGCCCCGGCTTCTTCGAGGCTAGAGCTCATTAGAGGGACGGGCTCTATCTGCTTTTGTATCTTTTAGCACTGCTGGTGTACTGTGGTGCTGTGACTGCTACCGGCACCCGGTAATTGTATACCAGCTGGGCCGCACAACTGAACCACAATTTCACTTTTAAGTAGTTAAGTATATTCCTTTAGGTTTACATTTTATAATTCAAAAAGTCCTCCATGATCCGATTTAAATCTATTTCTGTATGAAATAATGTTCCACAGGAGCTCTGCAAGGAAATGTAATGCATTCAATTCACACTTCCATTGTGACATTTCTCCCCGAGCACTATCATCGCCGGCTTCTGTTCCTGGGCGCCCCCGTCAGCCTGGGAGCTCCTGGGGCCAGAGATGACCTCTTCCTAAACTCTGTGCCTTCCCCCGACACCCCTCCCCCTCAAGAAACACAAAGAGATGTGTAGGACCCTCCACGTTCAGAAAATCCATATAGAAAGGGTAAGTGACTTTCTTTTTTGAGTAAATTTCACAGATCATAATACAGACCAATTACTGTCTCAAAATAGAAACCTCTATCAAAAAAAATGTGTGTTCCTATCTGGCCCAGTTCCATTTTGCTAAGCTCTATGAAAATAAAGGGGTAGATACAGGGTAGTAAGTTATTCTAATGATGTTTCTTCCTACTTGACTTGTCACAAAATTTTTACCTTTATATGCTCAGAAATGAATTGCTCTAAATTCAGAATTTCTCCAGGTACAAATGGACGAGGGGAGATTAGAGAATCTGTACAGAAATTGTTGATACTTTCTGATTACTAATTTTTTTTTTCAGAAAGGCCACGGCAAACACGGGAGAGGCTCAATTTCTAGGAGACGGTGCACATCTATATGATATTTTTTAATTAGAAAAGGAACATGTCCCCTGTAACAGCAGTTAGGGCCCTGGCAAAGTTCCCATTTCCTCTTGACTTGATATTCCAAGTGCTGGAACTACCGCTAAATAAATTCCCTCACTGTGCTTCTCAAATCCCAAACCAAACAAGTGAGTGTTCTCAAGCCCTGGAATCTGTCACTTGCCGAGAGATTACACATTTCCACCATTACTGAGTCGCAGAAGCCTTTCATGCGAGCAGCAGAGACCTTGAAACGAGAGTGCCAGCTTGAAGCGGGCATTCCCCAATGGGAAGAGGGGGGCAGAGCCTGGCGTGCGGCCAGCTGCCTGAGTGGGATAAACAATCTAAGAGACAGACTGCAGCGCCCGGGCCCTGCTGCTGCCCTGCGATTTCCAGCGGGATTAAAGCTGGTGCTTCCGCAAGACTGGCCTGTGAGAACAGGTAGTCGACCATCCGAACCACAGGAAAATGTGCAAACCTTCACAAAAGGGCAATCACAAATACTGAATGTTTAAACTGGAGGTACTTCCGAGCCCTTACAAATGGGCTGCATTTTTCTTCTGATTTTGGAGGGAGAATGTGGTGAGAATGGAAAGCCCGAGTGTGTCTTCAACAAAATGTGGAGTCTCTCGCTTCAAAATTCATCGTTTCTCTTTCTCATTGATAAATGGCCCATCGAATGCACTGTCCACTGACAGATCAAGCATCTTTATTTTAGAAGCCAGGACTCTCAGTGAAAGGCACTACGCTGATGTTAGCTGATCTGGTACATATGCCTGACGCAGACAGAAGAGAATGTTTTGTTTCCTTGAAGGGTCATCTAAGTCTACTCACTGGAAGGGATTTTATTATGATGTACGACAACGTCCACTAATTGAAGGAAATCCCTGGCCATCAAAACTCAAAAAAAATTTTTTTCCAGAGCTTCAAATCAGTTTACATTTTAGTAAAAAGATAAAAAAGATGATTATATATATGTATGTATGTATGTATATTATTTATAAAACTATAAGTTTAACACCAATCAAAATAAGTGGGTTAGTAATCAAAAACAATTTTTAATTAAAGTCACATTTGAAATCTAGTGTAAGTTTCTTAGTCCATCTTCCCCTTCATAATATTATTTAAAAAAAAAAAACCAAACCACTACCAAGTAGCATTGTCTAAATCCAGAAGTCACCAACAGACATCGCTGCCACTGAACATGGTCACTTCACTTACTTGTTGCTTGATCCTGGGGTTCCATCTGATGTAGTAATTCACCCAAAGTTCCAAGTGACGCATACTGGCAACTGGATATAAAACTCGATTGATTTCTTTAGTATAGAAGGGATTTTTGAATTTGTCCTTATTACTGTTTATCAGTGACCATAAAGATACTGTTCGTTCCGTCACTTTCTGGAGAGAAAGAGAGAGAGTAAAGCCTAAGTACAAACACACAAGCACACAAACCATTTTTCAGCCTGTGGCAATACAGTTGAGCCTCAACTTGAATCACACATTTACATTATCCCCATAATAGTTCAAAAAGCCTCATGGGCCAGTGAGTGTTTAGCAGCCACTTACTGGTATTTGCATAGATAATGGTCTAGCTTGAGAGCTACTATTTCTGCCAGAAGACAGAGGTACAGGATGCTGTACCATTAAGTGCAATTCACTGACCTAAGACAACTATTCCTGGCTAGGTAAAACATTTATGAACAGATGGACAGAATGTTCTTTTAAATTCAGCAGAAAGAAAAATTATCATAAGACCCGGTCAGCCTTCTTCATTTTTCTGCTTGTTAGAACTGTCAAATCTTAACCTCTGCCTGCTTGACAGTAGCTATCTAGAGGTAAAGTCATTTTAACCAAGCAGCCAGATGTTCAATCTATACCATGCTACCGTCCAGACCTTTGAAAACACCTGGACAACTGATTTCACTGAATCTTTACTTTGTCCTTTGGTGTCCACCATCTCAAACACACGCTCACATTGTCTTTGTTTTTTTTTTTTTTTTTTTTTTATAGATTTTTACCCATTTCGAGCATACACCGGGAAAAAAAAACCCCAAGCTTGGGAAATAAAAGGTACAATTATTAAAATTACCAAAGGCAGAATCTGAGACTCTTCCAGTAATGACTTCAATAAGGAAGGACCAATAAGCTAAAACTGGAAGCTAAAAAGAACAGTTTGACACAAGCGACTGAAGAAATGTCTTTAACATGCATATTTCAGTAATGTGAACAAGAAAAATGGCAGCATAAATTTGCCTTCCTTGGAATCCACCTCAAACTTCATTAATTCCTACCTTTCTGATGCCACGAGCTGTACTGTGTTGTGTCCATTTGCATGCTTGTTTTTATTTTTATACATGCCCATAAGTGTAAAACATCAAATAGCCTGACCAGGTTTGTCATGAAAAAAAGAGCTCTCTCACCTCCCCACAAGCAACTGTGTTTGATTTTTTAAACTGATTTATTTTATTATCTGGCACTTAACCTCCACATCTCTAAATAATACGCTTTCCCTGATGCTTGGGGGTTGTTCAGCTATAGGCATCACTCGCTCTGTACTACCTCGGACTCCCGGCACGAAGCACAGCTTTCATGAGTCAGATATTTAGTGTTTTGATCCCTACGATGAAGCAAAAGCTACTCTCAGGCAGGCCACGCACTTTCTGTGATTTCTTCTCCTGCATGATTTTTGTCGTCTTTCCTGGATTTAACGACTATCTCTTCTGTTTGCTGACTTCTCTTGGTACTTATTATTTCAACTCCACTCTTCCTCCAACGTCTCAAAACTTTGTCTGACAAGACACTCAGCACCTCCGGAGCTCCCAGTTTCATCCTCGGAGGAGAGCAAGCCACGTGGGTTGCTCCTGAGCTGAACCCAGCTCACATCTAGGATTTCCTTTCTGTTGCACCTGGAGCATCCCTTGTTGCCTCTCTCGGAGCTGGGGCTCCTGCTTCCTGAGTTCCGTAGTCCTCTTTCTTGTTTGCATGGAGCCAACCCTCCAGCAGCTTCCAGAGAAAGGGCTTGGCATGGGACAGAACTCTTGGTGCCATGCATGTATGAGAATAGCTTTGGTCTCCCCAAATATCTGGTTGAGAGTTTGGTGGCTAGAGAATTCTAGGTTGAAACCATTTTCCTTTAAAATTCTGATGGCAACGCTCCATTGACTTCCAGCTTCCAATACTGCTATTGAAGGATTTTGTCTTCTTGATCTGTTTCTTTGCAAATGACTCCTTCCTTTTCTCTCTGGAAGCTTGAAGGGTCTTAAGGATCTTTTCTTTGTCCTCGGTGTTTTGAAGCTTCCCAAAGATGGGCCTTGGTATGGGCCTATTTTTGCCCACCATGCTTGGGCACTTGGCAGGCCTTTTGATGTGGAAACTTACATATTTCAATTCTGGGAAACAGTCTCAGATTGTTTTGGTGATTTCCTGTTCTATGGTCTCCCTGTTTTCTCTTTCAAGAAGCCCTATTTTGGACTTCCAGGACTGGACTTCTAGGTTGCTGATCTTGTTTCCATCTTGTTACCTCTGTCTCTAATGCTGGACTTTCTGGGGGATTTCCACTTGTCTTTCAACACTTCTTCTGAGTTTTAACCTCTTTTGATATTCCCATTTTTCATTTCAAGTTGTTTTCTGATCTCTGTATGTTCTTTCGAAACAATATCCTGTTGTTATTTCTTGGTGCCAGCATTTTATCATCTTTCTAGGGATATTAAATGATAGCTGCCTGTCTATGTCGCTCCTCTCCCTACCTGGTAACCATTTCTTCCAAGCTGCTTTCCTCCCTCCTGGCTGGTTCTCTGCTATCATTTGAGAATAGAGCACTGAAGAGCTGACTGGAAGCTCTGGGATCATGACACTTGTCAATGTGAGCCTCACTGTGTGCAACCCTAGGTGTTGGTATCTTTAGGTCCTTCCTCCTGGGCTGGTCAGTTTCCCCAGGGGTGATTTTTTTTCATTGAGGTGGAGTCCACGTACTTTAAACTTACCATTTTAAAGTCTACGGTTCAGTGGCTTTTAATACATTCACAAAGTTGTCTAACCACCACTTCTATCAAGTTCTGAGAGGTCTTCATCACCCCAAATGGAAGCTTCGGACCCATTAAGCAGGCATTCTGCATTCTCCCCTCCCTCCTGCCCCTGGCACATACTCATCTGCTTTCTGCCCTGATGGACTTGTTATTCTGGACGTTTCCTATAAATGGAATCATGCCATCTGTACCTTCTCATGTTCAGCTCCCCCATTAGCATGTTTTTGAGGTCTGTCCATGTTGTAGCATGGACCACACCTTCCTTCCTTTTCATGGCTAAAGAAGAGTCCAGCATACGCCTAGGCCGCATTCTGTTCATCCTGTCATCAGCCGACAGACCCGGGGCTGTTGCTCCCCCTTTTAACTCTTTGAACACCTATGTATGAGTTTTTGTTTCAACTCCTGTTTTCATTTCCCTTCAGTATGTGCCTAGGAGTGGAATTGCTAGGTCACAGGACAACTCTTAGCTTTTTGAGGAACCACCAGATGGTTTTCCGAGGCAGCTGCACCACTCTACATCCCTGCCAGCAATGTATGAGGGCTCCACCTTCTCCCCTCACCCTCGCCAACTGAGAAGGTTCTCCTGTGCTCCCACCCAGAACATAAGGACCTGCTGCCAGAATGCTGGGAGTCATTAGGGAGAGTGAGCTGGGGTCCTCACAGTCAGCTCCTGTCACCTGAACCCCACTCTCATGCTCTCTTGAGAAGAAACCTGTGTCAGAATCCTCAGGTCCAGAGTCAGAGGGGAGGGGATCTGGGGAAGCTAACTGCTATTTCTGGCTCCCAAAATTTGGTTGCTACATTTTCTTTCTCATCTTCCCTGTTCTCACAGGTTTATGACTTTAAAACAATGCCCTTGGTGTTGAGTTTAAGAAGTTCTTTGTAGATCTTGGAAACTAGCCCTTTATCTGATACGTCATTTGCAAATATCTTCTCCCATTCTGTAGGTTGTCTTTTAGTTTTGTTGACTGTATCCTTTGCTGTGCAAAAGCTTCTTATCTTGATGAAGTCCCAGTAGTTCATTTTTGCTTTTGTTTCTTTTGCCTTCGTGGATGTATCTTGCAAGAAGTTACTATGGCCGAGTTCAAAAAGGGTGTTGCCTGTGTTCTCCTCTAGGATTTTGAAGGATTCTTGTCTCACATTTAGATCTTTCATCCATTTTGAGTTTATCTTTGTGTATGGTGCAAGGGAGTGGTCTAGTTTCATTCTTCTGCATGTGGAGGTCCAAGAAACAAACAATCCAATCATGAAATGGGCAAAGGACATGAACAGAAATCTCACAGAGGAAGACAAAGACATGGCCAACATGCACATGAGAAAATGCCCCGCATCACTTGCCATCAGGGAAATACAAATCAAAACCACAATGAGATACCACCTCACACCAGTGAGAATGGGGAAAATTAACAAGGCAGGAAACAACACATGTTGGAGAGGATGCGGAGAAAAGGGAACCCTCTTACACTGTTGGTGGGAATGTGACCTGGTGCAGCCACTCTGGAAAACTGTGTGCAGGTTCCTCAAAGAGTAAAAAACAGACCTGCCCTATGACCCAGCAATTGCACTGTTGGGGATTTACCCCAAAGATGCAGATGCAGTGAAACGCCGGGACACCTGCACCCCGATGTTTATAGCAGCAATGTCCACAATAGCCAAACTGTGGAAGGAGCCTCGGTGTCCATCGAAAGATGAATGGATAAAGAAGATGTGGTCTATGTATACGATGGAATATTACTCAGCCATTAGAAATGACAAATACCCACCATTTGCTTTGTCGTGGATGGAACTGGAGGGTATTATGCTGAGTGAAATGAGTCAATCGGAGAAGGACAAACATTATATGTTCTCATTCATTTGGGGACTATAAATAATAGTGAAAGGGAATAGAAGGGAAGGGAGAAGAAATGGATAGGAAATATCAGAAAGGGAGACAGAACATAAAGACTCCTAACTCTGGGAAAAGAACTAGGGGTGGTGGAAGGGGAGGAGGGTGGGGGTGACTGGGTGACGGGCACTGAGGGGGGCACTTGGCGGGATGAGCACTGGGTGTTATTCTGTATGTTGGCAAACTGAACACCAATAAAAAATAAATTTATTATTAAAAAAATTAAAACAATGCTCTTTCCTGACGTTTTTATGGTGTTTGGGGAGGAAGACCTTGCATACCTTTAAAGTCATTCCCACTCTCTGAAGGCAAAATCAATGTCTTACCCCTGCAGTAAATACCAGACACTCAACAAACCCTGGCTGGGGTGAAAACATCCAGGCTCAGTGTTGAAAAATGAGAAACTCTGCATATCCCACAAACAAAGCTATCAAAAGTCTTTTTATTTCATGGCAGACTAGACACATTTAACTAAAAAGATGAGCATTTCCACTCACCTGTTTTTCCCGAGCAGATTCACAGTTGTACAAGAAGGTACCAAACCGGCAACTATACAGATGATCCAAAATTGTAATCAAAAATCGTTCATTGAATTCAAAAGCTGTAGGGAACTAGACAAAAACAAATAAGGCAACAAAGCATGAAAACTTGGGATGGATCTTCTATAGGACTGAAAGGAGGTACCCAAGTAATGCAACATTGTCGCCTTCCAGGAAGGCCAGCAGAGGCTGCCATCGGCACACCTCCCACAGCTCATGTTTTGGTGCTTTGCACAGGACTGAGGAGTTTAAAAGAACATCAATTAAAGGGCCAAAGATGAAAAGCAAACTGATTTTCTGGGTACTCCTGAGCATACAGGGCGTATAAGGCATCTTCCCTATTTAGGGTGTCCTATGTACACATGCCAGATGGAAGGACTGGGAAAGATGCCTTGGGACTGTCGATTCCATTAGGGAAGAGAATGCAGTTAGATACTGATTTTTTAAAACATTATGGGAAATCTCAGACATAAACAGTAATGAGAATAAAACAGTAAAGCCCATGTACCCATTACTTGGCTTCAACAATTATTTACATATGGCCAGATGCGTTTCATCTCTAGCTCTGCCCTGGATTACTGTGAGGCAAAGGCAAATCCTGGACATTTGATCAAAACACTTAAATGTGAAGTCAAGTGTATTTTTATTCCATATATATCCTCTTACCTGTTTTGACATTTGCCATACACAATCAATAAACTGGAGAAAAATAGGAGACCGGTCAGCGTCAGCGTGGTTTTTATCACCATGACCTATTCTCTGAAATGAATGGGTGAAGACGATTTGTTTTCATTGATGGGTACAAAACCAAGAAAGCATATAACCCACACAATGTGACAATACAACTCAGCAATCTGCTTTCCAAATGCCAAGTTTCTCAGACAGTAAACAGTATATGTTTTTTCTGTGGCAATACAGAAATGTTAAAAAGTTTTGAAATAATGGAAATCAGGGGCGCCTGGGTGGCTCAGCAGTTGAGCGTCTGCCTTTGGCTCAGGACATGATCCTGGGGTCTTGGGATCGGGTCCTGCACTGGGCTCCTTGCGGGAAGCCTGATTCTCCCTCTGCCTGTGTCTCTGCCTCTCTCTCTGTCTCTCATGAATAAATACATAAAATCTATTTTTAAAAAAGGAAAGAAAAAATGGAAATAAAGTCTATAAACATCTGTAATGGACCCATGCTGAGGGGCAAAGCATCATCACATGTGTCACAACCATTTCTATCATCAGCTGCAGGTGGACAGGGCCAGCTCATCCTGCAGGTAGGTTAGCAGCTATAAGGTACCAACCTCAAGTTTGAAGCCTCGAAACCATGTTCAAAAGGGTGTGATTAAGAAGTGAAGTTATTTCTTCAAACAAGACAAAAACCTCACCATTTCTTCTTATTTAGAATGATTCTTTCCACTTGCAAATGTTATTCACACTACTTAGAAAATGTGGAGAAGAATCATCTGAGGGAACTTGTTAAAAGGCTTTTTCAGGGGCGCCCAGGTGGCACAGTTGGTTAAGCGTCCGCCTCTTGATTTTGGCTCAGGTCGTGAGTTCAGGGTCCTGGGATAAAGCCCTAACTCCATGCTCAGCAGGGAGTCTGCTGGAGATGCTCCCCCTTTGCCCCTCCCCCTGCTCGAGCTCGCATGCATTCTTTCTCCCTCTCAAATATTTTTTTTTTTAAAAAAAAGGTGTTTTCAAATGGTATCTGGAGATAGACCTGGAAATAGGAATTTTAGTAGGTTCTCTCAACTTTCAAAATGCTATCAGAGAATAATAATAATAATAATAATAATAATAATAATAATAGCAGCCTCGACTAAAAGTCTAGCATCTCTGCAAAATGTATTTGGCTCTAATGGCTATAATAATAGCTGGGAAAGAATGGTCATCCTATCCTCCTCCTTTCAAACAATTTCAACATTTCTATGCAGGTTCCTGGCATTACCCTCAAGTCAAACTGTAAATAGTGCAGATGTATAAACATGCGTCCTATGACAACTTGACCCCAAGGAGTCGGACATCTTCAAACGTGTACTTTTCATTTGACTCCTCAGATTTCCTTTTCAAAAGCAAATACATGGTTTAACAACTAGCTTTTAAATCTCGAACGGCAGTGATGTGACATTTCAAAAATCAGGTTTATTGTTTACTTACAGATGCAAACTTATGTCCAAAACTTATCCATTCCTTTTGTACCAATATTTCAAAGCCCTCGATGCTCCGATAGAAGCTGTCGAGCATCAGCATGGCCAAGGACGTCAGCTGGGCAGTCCTGTCCCATCCATCGCTGCAGTGCACGAGCACTGAGCTCTTCCCTGAAGAAACTCTGTCTGCTACTTGAATGGCTCCCGTCAAAACAAGCTGCCAAAGAAGAACAGGTGAGTTGGTAGGTAGCTGTGAGGTACTGCTGAAATTTGAAATGATAGTTTTTAACCCTAGAAAACGTCCCGTTTTCAAATACTGCTACTGTCTGGAACAGAAAGATTTCTGTGAAGGAAACACCAGGAGCTGCTGGACCTGTGACTAGGGTATTTAAAAAATTAAACAAAAAACAGCCCAATGCACAAAAAACCACATTGCATTTCAAGTTTATTTTCGCGTATGTGATTACATTAGCATACTAAGGGCTGTCCTAGCCAAGTTGCACAGACTGTGGCTTAAATGACAGGAACGTATGATCTTGCTACGAGTCCAAGACCAAAGTGGGCAGGACCAGGCACCCTCTGAAGGCTCTAGGGAAGGACCTGTTCCAGGCCTTCTCATAGCTTCTGGTAGTTTCTTGGCCCGTGGCAGCAAAATTCCAGTCTTCACATGGCCTTCTCCCTGGGCATGTGTCTCTGTGTCCAAATTTCTTCTCTGCATAAGGACACCAGTCTTACTGCATTAGGGGCCCACCCTACTCCAGTATGACCTCGTCTTAACTGCTCACATCTGCAATGACCCTGATTCTAAAAGGTCACACTGGGGGGTCAGGACTTCAAGACATGAAAGATTTTGGGGGGACAGCACAATTCAACCCATAGCAGTGATCATTTTAGAAAAATCGCTGGCCCAACAGGTCCAGCCTAGACCTTAAGGGCCCGAAACAATGGAAATCACCTTTGTTATAAGTTGACAAAATATGAACTGTTCGATGGCTCGTAAGTAGAATACTTACGTAAAGATAAAGTGATGGCCTTCTAGTGAATGTTTGAGACTTAAAAGTACTACTAAACTTATGTATACAAAGAGTTACTGTCATGATGTCATTTTTGGATGATTTGGGTACTCATGGAGTTGTCCTTTACAAATCACAGAATGTACCCATCATGACGGTACAGTTTGAGAAGACCATGTAAACGTATATGGTGGCGCAATCATCACAATCCAGTCATAGAATGCTTCCACCACTCACAAAAAGTCTCGTGCGATCTGAGCTCAATCTCTGCTTCTCCCTCAGCCCCCAGCTACCAGCAATTTGCTTCCTATCTCTGTAGTTCTTCATGGACTCGAAATTTCATCTAAATGCAATCATATGATAGGTGATCTGTTATGTCTGACTTCTTTCACTTAGTGTCACAGTTTAAGGTGCATCAGTGTGGCAGCCCACATCATCCTTCCTTTTTAAGGCCCAAATGTCTCCCATTGTACAGACAGATCATATTTTCTTTGTCCGCCCATGGGCTGATAGACGGTTGGTTGTTTCTAGCATTGGGTTACTGCGAGTGACGCTGCTGTGAACTCTGGCACCCACAGATCTGTGTGTGAGGACTTCAGTTTTCATCTCTCTTGGGTAAATACCGAAGAGTGAAATGGTTGGGTCATATAGTAAATGTACGTTGATTTAACTTTTTGAGAAACTGCTGAGTTGTTTTGGACCATTTCACACTGTGGCTGTCAGTAGAGTACGAGAGCTCCATCTTTTCAGGTGCTCATCAGCTATTCACATACATAATGCCCATTTTTGGATCTCCCAACATCCCAACGGCTGTGCAACAGTCAAGCAGTGTGGTCGTTTTAAGTGATTCAGACTAAGTGAAAGATCTGCTATACAGAACTTTAAAGACCCATACTTTTGTGATTTTTTAAGACTTTATTTACTTGTTTAAGGAAGCTCTACACCTAATGTGGGGCTTGAACTCATGATCCTGCTATCGAGAGTCCCATACTCCACCAACTGAGCCAGCCAGGAGCTACTGAAGATCTGTACTTTCCTTATTTTAACAGAAACAGTTACTAAAGATAAGTGGACAAAGTTGTGCTGAGGACAGGTTAGGGGACCTGATGGCACATCAATTACTCGTACAAAAGTAATCGCTTTTAAAATGACTACAGCAGCTTTATTTCTTCAAGCATTTTAAGTATCTCCTCAAAATCCTGTTTACAATTTTAACTTGAGGCACTTCTGCAGGAAGGGCTGTTGAGAAGCAACGGTAATATAGCAGATCGCTTGAATTCAACTTAAGGAAGCTGAGCTTCTGGCACACTTTTACAGAGAGCCTGTTAACTTTAAAAATATCACATGTTTTCCAATAAAGTACAAATTCCCACCATCGCATCTTGACGGGAACGCTGCTAGTTATCTAATGAAACGAAAATCAGATTTTTCAAAAACCATCACTGGAAACTCTTAAATCACCAGATGGACCTGGGACTGATGGGGAGGCAGTGTGTGGTGTGCTGGCTCAACGGCCTGAGGCCTGGGTTTGAAACCTCCTTCCACCACTTTTGACACGGCACATACCTAGCCAATTGCAGAACTGTGGTTCCTTTCTCTCTAAAGTGAGGAGAGAAATGGGCTCCCCACTAATAGCCTGTCTTGGCCTAAGACAAAGAGTAACCATCAAGTGATGACATCAAGCATGGGTTCCACGAAGGCTAGCTGTCAGCTAGCTGCCTTCTAAGAGACACAAAAGAACATGTCACTTTCAAAGAGGAAGGGCTATAGGGCAAGAGCATTGGAAAGGACATAGAGAACATGTAAGCTCCAGAAACCACAGAGACAATACACCCTGTTGGGGCTCTGCTGACGGACTGGAATGTGGCTATGGGACATACGCCAGGCTGGTTGGTGGTGGTCTCCTCGCTCGCGCAGCTTGACCTGTTTTGCAGAGCAGTGGGACCATTTTGTCTGGATGCAGGTTAGTGGTGGCCATGCCATGTGTCTCTCAGCAGTCCTGGGGCTGCAGGATAGTGTGGGAGGCTGCAGGATGGGTCAACCAATGATGTCCAGGTCCTAGCCCCTGGAAATCTGCAAACACTGCCTTGGATGGTAACAGAGACTTTGCAGACGTGATTACCAAGATAATGACTCTGAGATGGGGAGATCATCCTGGACTATAGGCAGGTGGGCCCTGAATTATACCCCTTGTTTCCTGATAAGAAGGAGCAGAGGGAGATTTCACAGAGAGAAGGCAATGGGATCATGGGAGCAGAGGTTGAAGCGATTTGGCCACAGCCAGGGAATGCCAGCAGCCACATGAAGCTAGAAGAGGCAAGGAACAGATTCTCCCCTAGAGCTTCCAGAAGGAACACGGTCCAAATGAGCCCCCCTCCATTCCCACCTGCTTGCTCTTCAAGGTCCGGCTCAAAGCTACCTGTATCTCTGTTCCCTTGTCTTCTAGCATGATGAGACTTATGCCTGAGAAGCCCTGAGTCAGAGGTCACTGCAGGCGTTGATCTGGGCTCCCCAGTTACAGCTGGTCTCCTTAGAGAACACCGACAGTTTCTTTCATTTCTTTCCTATCCCCTCTCTTTGGACAAAACTATAAAAATGTACAGGGGCCCTTTATAGAATTTTCCATATTCTGTAGGTTCTAACTTCCATGCACCTCTTAGTAGCCTTGACTCCTGACTTCCTCAGATACCTGAGCCACTGAAGAAGACCTGCTTCTGACCAGTCCCTATTCTAGCTAGCTCAGAGTAAGAGTCTACTTTTCCCAATTAGGCCCCACCCAGGTCTGTTCCTGGGCTTTTGTCCAGACCGCCTCTTTCTAGAATGGGTCCCTTTGTCCCTTCTACTTTTAAGCCCCACCAAATCCCAAAGGGCCTGTTCCTTCCACTGCCTTTGCTATGAAGGCTTGCTGGCACTTTACACACTGCACCAGGGAGTACTAGCTTTCTTGTTACACATGCATGCCACCTCTTCAACCATATGGACCTCCCTAATGGCAGGAAGTATGTCTCTTCCCTTTTTCCATCCATAGGGTCTAGAGCGCAATGCTTTGCATATGAGAGTGCAATACTCTAAAAATAAATGTTTTCTCTCACAATAGTTTTATAGAAAAGTTATAAAGGTACTACAGAAAGTTTGCATTTACTCGACCCAGTCTCCCCTATCCCTGACATCCTATAATACTACGGTACATTTGTCACAATCAGTGAACCAATATTGATGTGTCATTAAGTTACTAATAAACTTTAAGATGTTATTTATTTATTTATGAGAGACCCAGAGAGACAGGCAGAGACATAGGCAGAGGGAGAAGCAGGCTGCCTGTGGGGAGCCTGATGTGGGACTCGATCCCAGGACCCCAGGATCACGCCCTGAGCCAAAGGCTCAACCACTGAGCCACCCAGGTGTCCCTATTAATAAACTTCCTCATTTATTTTTAATAGAGTCCATACTTTATTCAGGTCTCCTTAGTTTTTTTTTTTTTTTTTTTTTTTTTTTTTTTTTTTTTTTTTTTTTTTTTTTTTTTTTTTTTACCCAATGTCCTTTTTCTAATCCAGGATCCCACCCAGGACCCCACATTACCTTAGCTGTTACAATTACTTGGTTTTGCAATTCGTTTTTGAGAAAAAAAAGAAAAAAATGAAAGTTAGACAGGCCAAATGAAAATATGATTCCTACCAAGTCTGAAAGTGGAATTTGGCTAGGAAACGTTCTATATTAAGAATGCACCTATTTGGGATCCCTGGGTGGTGCAGCGGTTTGGCGCTTGCCGTTGGCCCAGGGCGCGATCCTGGAGAGCCGGGATCGAATCCCACGTCAGGCTCCCGGTGCATGGAACCTGCTTCTCCCTCTGCCTATGTCTCTGCCTCTCTCTCTCTCACTGTGTGACTATCATAAATAAATAAAAATTAAAAAAAAAGAATGCACCTATTTAAAGGAGGCTTTTTGTTTGTTTACACAACAAAATGGTACCTTCTAAAGGTGTTCTTTCCCTCAGATAGCTTCAAGTAGTTTTACTCAAGACTGGAGGTTTCTGATGCCTTTATCAGGATGAAGGATTGAATATAATCGAAGCATAAAGTTCATCCTTTACAGTCAGTCAATTTGAGATTAGTTTCAATAAAAACAACCTCTCTCTAGGTCCTTGTGAGTCATACCCCGTAACGTTTGGCTAGTAAATTGGCTGTTCTTAAACAAACCTGCATGAAAGACTGAACTAACTTACTATTGACCAGATGGAAAGTGACCTCCCTACAAACTCTCAAACTGTTCTGGAGCAATGTTGTGAAATCTTTAAGTTAGTTAAGCAAATTAGGAAGAGACACAACATTGTCAAATGTAGAACTCCATACTACAAATATTTCATCTTTCACTGCTCAATTTTAATAATGGAAGGAATTAAAAAAAGATTCCTGCTCCACTAAACAATGACTTTCTTCCTTAGATATGTCCATTTTTTTTTCAAAATATACTTGCCTTGATATGTTCTAACCAATGGGTAGACTCCAAACTGGACAGCCAGTGAGACTCTTCCACATTAGGATAAACGATGTCTTTGACTTTTTTTAAAGATTCCCGCATAACATGAATGTTATGAATGTCTAAGAAGAAAAGTTCGGCGTTATGATATGCATCATCACTTTCATATCCTCCTCCTGTTGCCTGAGAAACAGCAAGACACACAATCAGTTGGGTTTTCTATTTCATCAGTAACTTACACAAATATTTCAAGTCCTCTAAATCGCAACCTAAAACCTCCCCAGCTTGGATGCAGTGACTGACGTGGCCTGACTTCCCATCTAACGCTGAGCCTCAACACTGAGCCTCAGTTATACTCTGAGCTAGGAAAGAAACAGAACAACAACAACAACAACAACAACAACAACAACAAAACCCCCAGCAGGCTGGCAATTTCCGGAGGATCTGTAGTTGCAAGAAAAGAAAATCACTTCAAAATGTTCCATAATTACTAGCTCTTCTTCTGGATCTGGGAAGGCAAGAGCGGTTCTCAAGGGTCCTTGTCCGCTATCGGTTTTGTAGCGGTACTCTTTGGCAGTGGAGGAGCGGGGAGGTGGGGTGCTGGCTCCCTAACAGCATTCAGCTTCGGCCCCTCTCTGCTCTGATTTGAGGCAAGGCACTCAACTTCTCTGAGCCTCAATGTTCTCTCCCACAGAATTGGAGATAACACTAGGTAGGTTAAACAGGATTTAAAGCAGTCATGTCCTATCACAGCTGATACCAGCCACCATTTGGTGAACCCCAGTGATTGTCCCAGATACGAAGATTCTTGCTTTCTATCGGCTTCACTGATTCTTACAGCAATGCTGCAAGAGAGGTATTATCATCCCCGTTTTGCAAATGAGAAGAGATGCTATTTAACTATCCCCAAAGTCACACAGTCATCGGTAGAATTCAAGGCGTCTGAGTGCAAGAGCCAGACCTTTTCCAGCACACCATGACCATCTGCTCTGTAAACAGCAAGGATGGAGAGCCGCACCACGCAGAGCAGGCCCCCAAAGAGCAAAAGGTTTCAAGAGGAGACAAGACGGCCACCATCCACCGCAGTGCCTGCAAGTATTAACTTGCCAGGACAGGCAATCCGTCCCCCTTCATCGCACGGTGGAGATGCCCACTTTCCATGTAAAGAAATAGCAGTGTAATAGAAGGAACCTGGCTGCATTCTGCTTAATGCTTTAAAATCTCACAGCACGTGTGGCCTCTGGCCCTTTAAGAAAAAGTTAAATAATTCAGAGACTTGCCAAGAAAGCAATGTTCTAGGAGCTGAAATGGAAGGGGAAGGCATTGGACAAATGTGCTGTTGCTACGTATTGCCTCTTTTTATTTATAACAATAGAAAGAATATAAAACTTGTACTCAGAAGGGCCAATGCATCCTATGGTGCTTTGTTTTGTTTTGTTTTTTTGCCAGGGTTAGTCACACAGGTTTCCTGCAATAGAAGCAAGGTAACCACTTGGATTTCAACCCTGAAGACCTATGTGCAAGCCAGAGGTCTCCGTCTTCACAGACTCTACGTAAGGAAATAGGTTTTATTTAGAAACATATTTTCAAAGCTTGTTACAGACAGCATCAGTAATAAGTAGACAGTACACAATCACTTGGCTGTTTTTAAAGAAGTCATTAGCTAATGAATAAAGTGACAGACGAGCCATGTTTCCCTCTTCTCAGTTATCCATGCCTCAGGGTATAACACCTTGCGGCTCTGATCAAAGGCCTCGACAGAGGTGCTCCTACCCACCTGGCAGGCACCTCCATAAACTGCAGGCACACAGCCTGTGAGGAAACAGCAAGCCTACAATGCAATGACAAGTCACCCTCCCACAGATGACCCGCTTCCCTACAGGAAACAGTTACAGTGATTTCCAAAGAGATTCTCACTGCTGGAGTTTTTTTCACAAATAACTGAAGATAATACGTAGAAAAACAAAAGGCAAAACATACTTATTGTTCCTTGCCAGAGCAAAGACAGACATTAATGCAGCTCCACTTGAACCCATCACAGTGGACTGCGGCAAAACTGAAGCAGCCTGGCACCGGGTCTTATCTACGCCTGGGTTTTGTCTGTTTACTTGACAATTGGCGTAATGTTGGTTATTATGTGGAGGGTGGGCAGTGCAAATTTCTAAATATCCACAGGGGAGGAAGGATTAGGTCCAAAGAGAACAGAAGTCAGAAGAGTAAAAATCAATGAGGCAAGCATAGAGTGAGTTCCCAAAAGTTCAACTTCTCCAGCTCTGGTTCGTTTTGAAGTCTTCACAGTTTCCTTCTCTTTAATGAAAAGGAACAACCCAGACAAGCTAGTACAACAGCATAAAGGTTCAAGGGCCTGTTGCTATGGATATAGATGACTAGGGGAGAGCCACAGCAGAGGGAGGAGGGAACAGAAGCTTGGTTTTTAAAGAATGCTGCACAGGTCTTTAAAGCCTCAGTTTTTTTCCTCAAATTTTTCCTTCCCTTCATTCCTAAGAGCACTAGTAACACAGGCGTATTTCCTGGGTGTTAAAAAGGCATTCGAGAATTCTGCTGGGGAGCTGGGGAAAACAACAATGAAAAAAGATTCTACTGCTATCACAATAAGCTTCAGAGTTAATAAGATGATGAAATGTATAATCATTTTGTACATTTTCGTATTTTAAAATAATCTTTCTAAAGTCCTCATTTTAATGTTACATCATCTCTATTTCAGGCTAAATGTATACATGCAAACATTGCATTCTATACACAGTTTCAACTCTGAATTATATATGAGGGATGGAACAGAAATATCTAATGTTACGAATAATGCAAGAAGAGATTCATCTTTGGACTTAATTTCCTAAATGTTTTACTTCTACTTCTTAATTTACTAGTCAACAACACTCCCTGATTGTTTTACATATAATTTCAAGATAATTTCCATTACTGAAACAAAAATCAACTGCAATAACAGATAGCTGGTCCAAAAGCACACAGGGAGTGAGGGGGGGGGGGGACTCCCTGGATGCAAATGTGTAAGACACACAATCTGTGTACAAATAATTGTGAGCAGAGCCACACACACACACACACACACACACACACACACGCCATTTTTACACACCCTTCTGTTTAGGAAAGCTGCTGCATCTCTCAGAGCTGCTTGAGGACTTGTTTTGCTTTCAGGTTCTTGTCTTGTGCTATGAATAATTGAAGATGCCAGAAAAGTGACCTCGGGAAAAGCAAAGTATTCAAGATGATGAAATTTAAGCCTACATCTGACGAGAAACAAGAAATCGGAAAGGCGGAATGGTGGTGAACACCTTAGGGCAGGCCCACTGTGAGCACTTGCAAGTGACAACTGGCAATAGTAGGAGAAGGAAAAAACGAAATGAAAAGGAGAAGTCAAAGGACACCTAGGTGGCTGAGTGGTTGAACGTCTGCCTTTGGCTCAGGTTGTGGTCCTGGGGTCCTGGGATCGAGTCCCACATCAGGCTCCCCGCAGAGAGCCTGCTTCTCCCTCTGCCTCTGTGTTTTTCATGAATAAATAAATAAAATCTTTAAAAAAATGGAAAAGAGAAGTTTAATATAAAAAGCCTAACAATCTGGGGCTGTTCAGTGTACAGGCAAATGGCCTTATACCTTGCAGCAGCTTCTGTAGATCTTCTGAAAGCAACACTACCTAATCACTGATGTTCACCAGGATGACCCCAATCAACTATAGGGGTGCTCAGTATACTCTGCTTAAGAAGGCCAAGAGACAACAGAGACAGACTTGCCTTGAAAATAATAACAGTGTGTGCACATGATTATAAAATCCGTGTGCGGAGATCTACTCATTTCTTGAATTATCTTATATAAATGAGAACACACATTAATGAGTATAGTGAAGAGACAGTCTGGATAAAGCTACAGGTTTAGGATTTTAACAATTCCAGCTTCCCACAACTCCTCACAGATGCTTCAGCAGCATATATATCAAGATGGCTCAGGAACACCCTAAAGTGCTCCAAAGAGACTCCAACTTCTGCCAAAATCGAAGTTTGTTACAGTTCTATACTCACCTAATTTGCCTAAAGGTTATGGTCATTTGAACCTTAATGGATTCAACTCTCAAGATGGATTTTGTGATTAAAACTACTTCCTCCCTCAGCAAACTAGTTTTCCCATTTCAACTAAAGTCTAACTTCACATAAGCCCACACGTTGGCACACCGTGCAAAAACATTCATGTGAAATACGGCATGCTAAATGCAACAAGATAAGATCTATTGTGTCACTAAATATACTCACCTTGTTGGCCACGGCATTTACGTTGGGTCTGGCATCATAGATTGTGAGTTTAGAAATTTGTCTGTTAGTCTCCCTGATAACATCGAGATACTTCTCATCATCTTTATTCCGTTTACCACTCATTCCGACAAGAGGCTGGCTGCAGCGCACAATGACGGTCTTGTTTTCTGGATGAATCCATGACAGCACCTATGGTTAGTCCAGAAATTTTAAGCTATCCAGAAAGAAACAAATCTCAAAACAGTTAGAAATACATATAAAAAAAAAATAAAGTGCTAACAATCATGATGAAGTGAATCTGATTTAGCCGAAACAGTACTTGTTCACCTGCGATTTTCACTTTGTGTGCCCATAACCAATTGCTTTACTAGTCTTAATTAGCACCACGTCTCAGACATTAAATGCTTACCTAAAAAAAGTTCTATCACCTAAAGGAAATAAAAAGCTTCTAATACTACTTCAGGTCTGCAGCTTGCACTGGATTTCCCAGACAGAAACAAGCTTTAACAAGAAGTGAGATGTAAAGGAAATCACCTCTGGTACATGTGCTTCTATACTACCAACTGACTTCTACAGGTCATCTCCCCAACAGTCTCAATTCTAGAATCTCACACAGTGGGGAGAAAATCCAAGGGAAGAAAAAAAAAGCTCTCAGGATGTCCAAAGAGCTGCCAGAGGTCCCACAATGAGGCTTGAAGAGCCGTACTTTGCACACAAGCCTAGCACGTGTGCTACCTGGTTTCCAAGCTCACGGTGCAGGAGAAACAACACTCATAAAAGGGAGCTAACAATGTAATACAACAGAAACTACAGAATTGTCCACTTTAAGTGGGTGAATTGATCGGGTAGGCAAATTGGATCTCAAAGCTGTTAAGAAAACAAAAAGGGAGCCAGGAGGTGAGTGTGGTGGGCAACAGGGTGGGCTCTGGGGGAGGCACATCTCTGCTGTGGCTGTAACCTGGACATGGGGTTCACAGCCCCTGTCTCTCCCAACTCTTCCTTCATCAAATGGGGTGTGGGGTGTGTGGGGGGGAACATGACTCCACAGCCCTGCTGGGCAGATGAACGAAGAACACATGTAAAGTACATTCCAGGGGCAGGCCAGGTGGTCTGGGAAGTCAGATCTGGAAAACTGTGAAAAGCAGACACAAGAACCAAAGAAGCTCACTTACTACAAGGCCAAATGCGTTGTCATCTGTGAAGTCACCCCCTCCATGATGGCAAATGATAAGCACTGATGTTCACAAAAACCGATGTGCATAATAATGACAATGGGTTAGTGAGAAAAGATTACATGATAGCGTGAATGAATCCTTGTTCACAGAGTCTTTGCGCCATGCCAGAGACCAGTAACGCAACATCACTGTGGCCCCGAAGAGTTCAAAGGCTCAGAACTAGGAAGCCCTGGGACAAGCACTGGCTGTTCTGGACCTCCGGTTTCTAACCAACACCATGGAGGTGACACCTGCCCAGCCAGCCTCCTATGGCCCTTGCTTCAAGACAGGTAAGAGACATGAGATCACTTTTATGCACGTATGGATGTATTTTTAATTTTCCAGGTTTACTGAGAATGTAAGTGATATACAACACTGAGTCAGTTTAAGCTATACAACATGTTGACCTGATACAAGATCACTTCTAAAAGAGAAAATCACTATATACAAGAGACTTATTCTTTGATAAACATCCTCACCAACTTTTATATTTAAATCACGTCCTAGGCGAGGAAGTGCCCTGTACCATTGGCAGTGACCTCCCTTCCTCGACCCCTCTTCTGTCCGCCTGGGAGATTAAGGCTGGAATCACCATGCCATGTTACAGGTACTCTTGTAAGCTGCTTTGCTTCTTTCTTTTTCTTTCGGGATCTCATCCACCTTCTTAAAAGGATGCATACTCCCTTGGCTCACAGGTATAAATAATGGTCACTTCACACCACCACCAAGCATGACTGCTTTCAAAGTATATGGTACTATATTGGGTCATTCCTAGTAAGCTTAGTATCTAGAAGTCATAGGTAATTAAGGATATTCACCTATATTTAGCCACCAAAAGATGTTGATCATAGAGTTGTTGATAAAAGTAAAAGATTAAAAGGAACCGAGATGTCTCAATAGAAAATGGATATAAGACATTATGGTAATAATGTGTGCCCCCGACACACGGACACAAACATGCTCATCAGCATGAAAAGTTCTTTCCAAGATGATGCTATGCAGAGAAAGTGGACTGAGGCACAAATTACAGGATAATTTCTTTTTTTTTTTCAAATAAAAATGTGCTTGCACAGAAGACAGTTTGGGAGGACGCAGACCAAAATGTTAACTGTGGTTCTCACTAGGTGGCAGACTCCTTTCTGCTTATCGGCACTTCGTAAAATGCCTAAAATAACTGTGTATTACTGATATATTAAGGACTTCTGCAACTTAAAGACAAACATGTTTGAGAACATGGGAATGCATATGAGAACATACGTATGCATTAATGGGGACACCGATGATGCATATGGATCATTTCTTTCTTCAGTGATATCTCATAATCGTTCATATTCCTATTTATGCACACAATAACCAGAGTGCTTTCTCATCAATTCTTTTTGTATTTTTATATGGGCTTTTAAAAAAGAACTGAATATCAAATATTAATGATTTCACATTTAAAAGGAAATACGTTTTCTGGGGTACAGTCAAGAGTCAGGTGGTTAGAAGGTGTTTGAGAAAGAACACATTATCTACCATTGAGTATTCTTCAGCACGGTAATCTATAAAGATATAGACAGGATGGAAGGCTTAACTTTAGTTTTATTAGGAAAAATAAAGGCAGACTCGTGGCCATTATGAAGTAAGGAAGATCAATAAAATGGCTATGTAACTAAAAAGTTAAGCATTCTATTAGCTCTACAGTAGACTCTCATTCACTCAGGATGGTGGAGACTAGTGGGCAGATGGCAGGGGAGCACACTGGACTGGGCACACTTGTATCTCCTCTTCTGTCCCAAGTCCCATGAAATACACACACACACATACACACACACACACACACACACACACACACACACACACACACACTGACATGGTAGATGTTCAATGGAATGAAGGCATGAACAAAATCAATCCACACTACCCTTGCCTAGTTCTCCTGTGGGCGAGACAAGTATTAGCAAGACAGCTGGCCAAGGCAGGGGTGGAATTTATGGCTATGGCACAGAAAAGTATGTCACAATAGAGCAGAAGAAGAGGAAGTAAACTTGCAACTCTAGCCTCGCTGGCACTGTATTCTAGCAAAATGAGCTAAAGAGCATATAGTCAAGTACAATATAGATCATTAACATATGAACAGACACTCATGATTAGAGAAATGAGTGAATTTTAAAAGTTATGATTCCTATTATGTCGATGTTGTACCGGAGTTCCACACAAATGTCCTTTTAAGGACAAAAAATGTCTAGACTTGGGAGTTAAAGGCAAGGTGACATTAAATCTTAATTTCTTCAATCCTTGTTTTTCCAAAAATCTGTTATTTAGCAAAACCACAACAAAACAATGTACTTATTATGACATGCCCTGAAAATTAAGAGAGGAAAAAATTCTCTAAATTTTAAATCAATAAAATTTATGCACACAAAGTAGACGGTATGACTCATACATAAATATTTAAGAGCCAAAGAGAACTTTGTGAACTAGGTCCAATGATACTGTAAGTATACTGTCTGGAATAATCTGCATTTGGCTCCAGTTTGCTAACGGCATTTAGGCAGCTTGCAAATGTGATGAGGATGAGCTAGACCTACTAAAGGCGGGCACACATGAAAGGCTGTACTCCTGCACTCTAACACAGGACAGACAGCGTGCCACTTCCAGTAGGATTCAGCCGACGTTCACGGAGAGCCCATCATACGTCAGGTATCATACTACAAAGGTGAAAACCATAGAACCCCTGTCCTTTCATCTTTCCTTCCAGCTACCACTTGGTTGACGTGTGCTTTACTTATACCCTCTCTCGTATGAGAATCATTTTATGCCCGTTCTCTGTCCCTGATTGTGAGCTCTGGAAGACCGGTGCTGTCTCACTTCTTTTCCCATTTGGCGTGGTACTTTGCACTCAGAAGGCACTTAAAAATCATATGGTGGATTGCAATTCCCAGAGTGTTTCTCTGACTTGACTACTATTCTTATGGGATAAAAGGCAGTCTTTGAGGAAAACATTAACTGTAATACTCACTGGAATTCGATTTCTGGATCTAAAAGTTGCAACTCTCCTGAGATCGTCATCTGAGGCACGATATGGAACCACCAAGAGAGCAGGATAAGTGTCACAGAGCTCATAGCACTTGTTGATAAAAGTTATTCTCCAGTGGTGATTGGGCAAGCCCTGTAGGAAAAAAGGAAGTCCCGAGTCAGTACCGCATGACTCCATCTCTGGATTTGGCCTCGGGTCTCCTTTCTTCTTTCTAGCAGAATCTGCACATGCCTCTTTGACCACAGGGTAGTGCGGTCTAAGGGTTTATAATAAAGGGAGCCAAATCAGTAATCCAGACAACATAAGAACACAAGACAAAACACTAGTGGTTCCCATAATTCTAAAATATCATTGGCAAATACGGATTTTCTTGAATTTGAGGTTGGTCTTTATTTCATGTCAAACTATTTCTTGCTACTTGTACAATAAAGATAAGCCCAAGTTCATCCCCCACTTGTGTACCCCACCCCCGCCCCAAAGAAAAGTGCATCATGTAATTTTAACCTGTGTCTAACTGAGGGTAGCAAAGAGATCGGGCGACTTCCTCTCCCTACCCAAAACAGAGTGAATGCTTCCGTCTGCTCCAAAGTAGAAAGAGGCTAAGTTCATGAAGAAAGTCACAGAGGGGAAATAGAGGAAAACCCCTCTGGGGAGGCTCATTTCGCCACCTCCTAAAAGTCTTTTCAATCAAGTTGTTTGGGATCGGTGATTGCTCTATGGGTTGCGTGAGAAATACAGGCATCTGCATTCTGAGCACGCTGCTGATGTGACAGGGAGTCACGGAGTACACCTCCCATCCTGTTATCCACCCACAAAATCGTCTAGTGTGGGCAAGATTCAGAGGTGGTGGAATAGTCTCTCCCCATACTCACAAATACACAGATACACACACAAAGGTGAGCTATGTGGGTGCTTGCTGTGGGGACAGACATTGTACCTTTTCCTTAGGTCTGGTCCTATAGACCACGGACCAAACAGGTGAGTCTGACGCTGAATCCAATTAGAGAGTTATAAGTCCCATGAGAAAGTTATAAGAAGAAAAGATGAAAAATAATGGCAGTCTCGAACAAGATACCGTCAACAGTTCATACATGCATGCAATCTTAAACAGGAACTGTCTTGTTTCAAGCTAGAAACATGGATCTAAAAAATAAGTCTTCATATTGTCAGTAATGCTCCAAAACTAAGTTACAGATATTTAAATACATAATGCTACCGAGGTCTCCAAAACATGCCAAATGTTTTCATGGTTTTTCTTCTGCCTTAATAGCTGACCCAGAATAGAGGTCATTAAAAGGAGAGGTAGAGACAGTCTTTGAAAACTCAACTGGCTAAAGCTGACTTCTGGAAGTGTAGGACGTACTACCTCATACAAGTGACCTAAACTCCTGCATCCACATCCCTGAGCATCGAATCTGCTTACAAATATGCACACCACTGGTCAAGACTAAAAAGCAAACAAACAAAAATCAGTGTGGGTGCTTGGTAGTGGAGGTGGTGGCTAGAAGGTTCTTCTCGAGTCTAGGGTTCTATGATTTTGCTTTACATTCACTGCGTTTTCATATAAAGCAACTGGGCTTGATCTGACTCTCAAAGCTCACTCAACAAAAGTTGCTGATTATCTTAAGAGCTGCGTAGGATGAGAACTATGAAAAACCCCATCACAAAACTCCTAGCTGGCCTAAAGATCGGGTTAAACCAGAGGTCAGATTGCGGCTCTTGTACATAATACACACAGGCTCTTCTGCACAAAAATGCCATGAGAGACCTTTGTCCCTGAACGGCAACATTGTGCCAAGCCTCTTGCCTTTGTTACAGCAAATAAACATGCACGTGGGTGAAGTTTACAGAAGAGAGCAATAAAAGCAATTCTAATACAAGTTTATCGAAGCTTTCTTAGAAAAGTCATCATTACAGGGAAAGGGTTCTAATTCACTTCAGTCTGCAAACCAGAATAAATATAATTTGAATCTACCTGTCAGTGACAGTTAAGCCCCTAGATATGTAAATATATAGTGACATGAATTCCTAAATAGTAAGGTATAGAACTTTGATTTTTCTAGACTCCATGTATTTGATTCATTTCATGAACATATCATATGGCTACGGAATGAGCTCATAAATTACACAGTAAAAGATAAAATAAGCTATAACTGCCATTTACACTGTACTTCGCAAGGATTCCACTGATGCTCGAGGAGCATGACCGACAAAATACTGTCACCATACATGTTTGCAATTCACGGCTTCCCACGCAGCTTACTGACTTACCTGCCTTCTGTATTCTTCGACTGGATTATAAACTGTCCACCCATCCACGTTAAACTTTTCTTCGTTTAGAAATGCAAATATTGGCTAGAAAAGGCAAAAGGAAAAAAAGAATTTAAAGTTCAGCGTGACGGAACTAATAGTCTACTAATACTATGTCCTCCGCGTTTTCACCCACCAGATTTGCCTACCATGAAATCACAACCCAAAGCGAGCCTTTCAAAAAGGAATTAAGAATGGAAAATGCACACCAGGCTTCATGCTACCTTCCATCTTGAGGAATAATTACTTCTTAGACCTCAATTTTCTATGGCTACAAACATCTCTTTTAAATTATTCTTTTATAGATAAAGTTCCATGAAAATCAGATTTCCAGACCAAAACACACCTGCTCATTTTGAACAGTATTAGCAATTGATCAGGTAAGAGCCATTTAAAAAAGAAAAAAAAGGAAATTCAAGAATAACTATTAAACCGACAACTGTCTCTGATGGGAACAATGACATGTTTATCTATTTTAAAAGCGACAGGATGTTAGGAAAATCCTTAATTAACTGTTCTCTGTGAATTCTGAATCAATGCCCTGATCTCTGTGAAATAACAGGACCCAGACCTCTCTTCTCTCTCTGTGCTCACTCTGGAGGCGATATTGATGAATTTTACGGCTTCAAATACCATCTATACTCTAGTGACTCCCAAGTATCCATGGCTCTCCAGCCCCGACTTGGATCTGCAGGCTTGGCTGTCCAAGGGACCACTGTAGGACTCCAGCCTGCCCCGAGAGGCGTCTGGTGGACTCCAAAGTTAACACATCCAAAGCCAAACCCCTCAATGCCCCCCATTCTGCTCCTCCCACTGCCTCCCCATTTCAGTAGATGGCAGCTCCGTTCTTCTAGTTGAGCCCAAAACCTTGGTGTTATCCTCATCAACTCACAGCCATCATCCTGGTCTAAGCCTCAACCATCGCCCATGTGCATCATTATAATAACCTCCTGCCTGGTCCCCTACTTTTCTCTTCACCTCTAAAGTCAGAGTAATAGTGTCACAACCCAAGTCACCTCAAGTCATTCCCCTGCCCCAAATCCTTCTGTGGCTTTCCATGTCATTGGGGGTCAAAGCAGAAGTCTGTCCAATCGCCCACCGAGCTGTCCACCATCTGGCCACAGCCCCTAGCAGGCCTCTGCCCTCCCACTGCTCACCCCACTCCTGCCACACTGGCCTCCAGTGCTCATCTCCAAAAGCACCAAGCACATACCAACATCAGGGCCTTTCCACCTGCTGTCCAGCTGTCAGAAACCTTTTCCCCCATGGCTTTCCCCTCTACTTCTTCACATCCCTGCTCCAATGTAACCTTAATCAGTAGGACTTATTCTGACACCCTATAGAAAAACTACATGCTACCCCCCCAGAACAGCACCCCCTATTCTCCTTCCCATTTTATTTTCCCCTATTATCTGTGATCATTTGACAGATTATATATGTACTTGCTTACTGTTGGACTCCTACTGTCCCCTCCCCTAGAACATGGGCTCCATAAAGACAAGACACCTGCTTTGGTCACATCCTGTCTCCCCAGTAACTGGAACAGTATTGGGTCCATTGTAGGCAGAATATGTATTTGTTGCCCCAGTGAAAATGTGAAGCTTCTACAGCCCCTGTACAACGACTTTCTCTGGAGGCACTGTGTTTGGGCACTTTTTCCTCTAGTATCTCCCCTGCCACCCATTTTCCTGTCATTAACCTATAATTTAGCATGCCAGCATTCCCCCCCCTACACTACAGAGAATTTCTGGAAAAGCCTTGCTTGGTGGCAATGGTTTTACATATTTAAAAAGCAAGAGAAAAAAAAAGCAAGAGGTGGGGATCCCTGGGTGGCGCAGCGGTTTGGCGCCTGCCTTTGGCCCAGGGCGCGATCCTGGAGACCCGGGATCGAGTCCCACGTGGGGCTCCCTGCATGGAGCCTGCTTCTCCCTCTGCCTATGTCTCTGCCTCTGTGTGTGTGTGTGTGTCTCTCATGAATCAATAAATAAAATCTTAAAAAAAAATAAAAAGCAAGAGGTTTAAGGTAAAAACTGATCAAGAACAAGATCTGGACTGTCTTCTTGAACTTTCTAAAGCACAGGGCACCCTCAGCAGGTCTCAATTCTAGCAGTGGTCAGCCCAAACGCTGTGTGTTCTGCAACAGGTGGCACACTGAGCACGTGACATGGATCCAGCTAAGCAATTCGTTGAGGCTTTAGACTGACATGGAATCCACGGCAATACTTAATTATTCATACCACTGCAGGAAACAAGTGATTTCTGTGTTAACTGAAGTTTAACTCAAAGACTGGCGCACTTTTGATGAAAACAGCCCTAAAATATATGGTGTACTTCTTCATCCTAAACAGGATCTGTAGAATGTATGAAAGCACTCTCTTGGTGACATCGGAGTACTGGATATTATACTGATCAGTACCTGGCACAGGTAAATACTCAATACTGCTGACATACTTGTAGAAGGCAGATGCTTAGAGACATAGGGCTGTGGTACCCCTTAGAAGAAGACGTATATAAGCTGCTTTCTTGAAATCAGTTCCTGATCTCAACTTTTTTTTTTGTTTTCTGTTCATGTTGTTTATTTTCAGATATTTGCACCTTTCCCATGGAGCTCAAGTAAATATGGTGACCTTTCAAAAACAAAGAATAAGACTACGAACTCAAAGGCCAGATAAACCTTTCTCTCCAGAAAAAGCATCATGTGTGTTAATGCTATCAGTATCCTTTGAGTTGCCAGCAGCATTTTCAACATAACTATTTTTCAGTCACAAATAATAAAGCAATTCCTTTCTTGCTCCAAATATTCTCTTGTATCTTATATTAAAATTACTAATAAGTATAAGTTTACAAAATTATTATCAGAAGATGAAAGTTATATAGCCCAAACCAAAATTATCTCCTTAATTTCTTTAATATGCTTGCTTTAAGGGAATTCTGAATGCAAGTAATATACAAAATATTGTCATTAATAGGAGAGTGGGTACAATGTCCTCACAGTTGCAACATCTCAGGTGGCCTTTCTCAAGAAATCATTCTGGAATAACACATCATGTTCGAAGTGACATCCAGATATCTAGGATAAGACCATGAACTGGCATCCTTTACCTCTGAAACATGCTTCTGAGAACTCTACAATGGAAACAGCTCTGAGGTTAAGAGCTAAGAGCCAGACTTGGAGCTCAGATATTTCAGAAAAAGTTTATGAATCACCTAACAGCCAGATACACATGAAATATTCAGGAGTACATCTAATACGGAATTGGAGCTTAAGGTAATCATCCAAATAAAACAGCTTACAATTACAAGAAAAAATATAATTTAAATTTTTATTTATTTATTGGGGGGTGGAGAGCAAGCGGGGAAGGGGCACTGGGAGAGGGGAGAGAGAATGTTAAACAGACTCTGCACTGAGCAGGGAGCCCAACACGCGGCTCAATCCCATGACCCCGAGATCATAACCTGAGCCTTTCAAAAACCAAGAGTTGGCCACTTAACTGCACCATCCAGGTGCCCCAAGAGAAAAATATTTTTTAAAAAGCACTACTTGTTAGTTTTTCAAGAAAAACACAAGGTAAACACAAAGTTGTTGATACTTGGCTCTACTGAGAGGCAAGCATTCAAAAAGGACCAATTTTCTAAAGTTGGATGTACTCAGACTTACTTCCCAGATATTTTCATTTTTACCTTTTTTTCCCTATTAAAGATTCAGGTAAGAGAAAGAAGCAAGAGTTTTAAAACACAAGCTCTCAACAGAGTGACATAAAGGTGGATTATTACAAAAGCCACTAAGCACTAAAGCAAGGCAACAAAACCCTTCAGCCATACCTCATTATTACAAAGTGGTGACTTGTCTAATTAAAGGTCCTGTCTGAAAACTGTTAATACCTTAAGTTAATGGGTTACATGCCTTGAGATTTTTAGCTGGCACTTATTTTCTCTTACAGACAATATATATGTTTTTTAAGGTTTTGAGTCTTTTCGGACTTAGCAGGTAGCCATTTCCAGTTATTCCTCACTATCACCCTGGGTCGCTGGGGACCCTGTCTTTGGGAATCCCAGGTGCCACAGAGAGAACTTCCCTTTCTGAGGATGGAGCCAGGAGTCGGGCCATCATTAAGCTGGTCACACACACTGGTCCCGGAATCAGGAGTGTGTTGGGGAGCCCCAGCTCAGGAAAGCCCCCAAGCCTAGGGTTGTGCCCAATGGGGGCTTCGGGAGGCTCTCCACAGCTTTCTTCCTCCTGGGGCCTGGTCCCTCAGCCGGGCTCTGCCTTAGGGTCAGGAGAAGGGGTCTCAGAAGGGGGGCGCTCTCCTGTGATGAGATGCTAGGGGATGCCCAGGCTCCACCTCGCCCCACCCCACCGAGCCAGAATTTCCAGAGGCAAGGGATGGGGGTGGCTGCCCTGATCCTGAAGGGCCACGTGCAGTAAGTAATACACAACCACACTACTCAAGAACACAGCCCCAGGCTTCTGAGTGTGCTGGCTGTCGGCAGGGGGCGGAGGGGGCTGCTTCACTTTTTTTAGAAAGTAATTTTGAAATACTTACAGATTCAGAAGAAGTTACAAAAATGTACAGGGAAATCCCATATGCACCTTGCATTCAGCCTCCCCAGTGTGAGTACCTTGAATAGCTGGAGTACAGTATCAAAACCAGGAAACAGACACCCTTACATGCTTACCCTGGCTTCAAGGGAGCAGGTCTATCGTTTATTTGGCTCTATATTAGTATTTGGGCATGTCACCAATGCAGATTCCTACTAGTCAAGAGATACCATGCATGGAGATTTAAAAAAAAAAAAAAGCAATCACGTGCATTTTTTCCAGGATTAAAAATAGCACAATGTAACATTTAAAAAATGTTAAAGGACAAAGTTGAGATGAAAATCTCTGATTTCACACTAGGGATAAAAACAGCTCTGACAAAGAGAATGTAACTTGTCATTTAAATTTTCCTACATTTATCACTGTTGTGTCTCGTGGGGGGGAAAATCTGAAAGGACAACAGGTTTTAGCTTTCATTTATTTGCCCATTATTTTAAGATGGCAC